AAGAGGAATAAAACAGAATACATACATGATTGAAGAATGAAATACAATATAAATTTGGTTGAAACATGATTCAACACCATCATGCAACAGGTTGAGGGATCAGGACTATTCAACTTTGAAGTAACATTTTTTATGAAGAATTTGAATAAAAAGAATTACCCCACATTGAAATCTAAACACATACATACAAAGTGAGTGTACTATATATATATATATATATATATATATATATATATATATATATATATATATATATATATATATAATAAAAATGGGGTATGAGATTTTGGCAAATGACAAGACAGACTTAGGAGTAGAAAGGTAAGAAAATTAACCTTGGGCTCCATCTTCATGTAAATCCTGTGGCCATTGGTGAGATTGTGAAAGTGGTGATGATGAGTGTGCAATATAGAAAGAATGAGGAGCTGAAGTGTGTTAGAATACAAGTATTTTTGACCTAAATATTCAGAATCATTGGGTGGTTTATAGTTTTGATGAGCAAGAGACAGGTGATTGAGACCCATAATTTGACAGGGAGGGATTCATCTGAGAATGATTGTGTTGGAATGAGTACAAAGTGGTAAAAGATTCGAATCATACCTCAATTGTTGCTGCCTTTCACTCTACTCTCTCTTACATCACCACATTCACTTTACACATATCAATTTCCCATCTTATCTTTATGCATGTTCATACAATCTACAACAAGTGTGTGATGGAGATTTCATGTTTTGTTATGATTGTGTAGACAAAAGAATTTGATGAAAGAAAACCCTTAAAAACTAGTCATAATCTCAATTTTTAACCTATTGGGTGTATGGAAATAACATGCACATAAATTCTATATGCAAAATAATGAATGCTGTGGGTCAAAATAAAAATGGAAAGCAAAGTAGTTGGATGAAAAGAGTGATGATGTGAGGTTTTGGAGTGTTGAGAAGCTAAGCATAGGCATAGGATTCTTGAGCCACAAACTTGGTTTCTTCCTTGGAGCTGCTTTTGGAGTTTAGTGGATATTTGCAAGTTTTGTTGCTTGGCCTCTTCTGCCATATCTGAGAAAAAAAAAATGATGCTAAGGTTCTTTCATTTTATTCATCATGTTTTTCAAAACATGTGTCAATTGAAACTTTATATTGGCTGAAATAAAAAATATTATCCCTAAAAACATCTAATACTTCATTATTATTATTACTTTACCATCATTTTGTGTTGTTAATTATGTGATCTGGTTTTTCTTTTCCCCAAACTAATGATGACAGATGCTTCTACCAATTTTCATTCTTTGCCATCCATATTGTCAACATCAATTATTATGCTCTTTAATTATTTTTAAAACTTTTACATTTATATATATGTTTTAACTCTTTAAAAATTATATAATACTTTGTAAACCAAAGATAACCTAGTATCATTATCCAATGTAAACTTTAAAGTGGTGATTTAGACCAACATTACATTGAAACCTTAAATTATAAAATTAACAGTATAGAATTATATATATTTTATAATAATATTATAATTGAAGAAAAGTGTAACCTTTTTCTTTGTTTTTATTGATATTATTACACTGGTCTTCATCATAGTCTCTTGGATTTTTGTGGAACTTGTTTTGTCTTTGTTCTTGGTTCCTATCTTTGAGGGGAAGCACACATACACCATTCAAAACCCATAAAAGGGACTCTAAAATTTCAGAAGATTTCATTGCATCATTATTCCATCTAAAGAACAAACCATAACACCAAGTTCAATACTATTCATCTTAATCTAAAGCCTCAAAATCATAAATTTATAAACATTATCATCCAATTGTGTTTATTTTATATTAGTTATTTTAAAAGTCATAATATTTTATCACTGCTCATTACAGTTTAATGAAATATCTGGTCAATGAATTTGGTTTCAATATATATATATATAAAAGATTAAAACAATTTCGATTTTTTTAATATATTATCGCTTTTATAGGAAATTTAGTGAATCGATGAAACATACTAAGCATTAAAAAAGTTTGATAGTTGCGAGAAAAAAAACTTTGAGTGATAAAATTCACATAATAAAAATAATTGAAAGATAAAATCCATAATTAGAAATTTATTTACAATATTATGAGATTAATTTTTTCTCCATTCTCTACCTTAAAGAAACTAATAAACATAAATGAAAATTTTGAAATTGATTATTTTAGAACGATTTTGTTCTAATTTATATTAAACTAATTTTGTTTAAGTGTAAATAAACACCTGCACACCAGAGTTTATTTATTTTATTATTGGAGAAATAAACGAATTCATAATTTCATTTTGAAATCATTATAAATATTCTTTAAATAATTTGATAAAAAAAAAAACAAATACACAAAGACTCACATACACATAATATATAAAAATTAAACTCTCAAATATATTTGTACTCTTCATAAATATAGATTTTTTGGTTAAATAATTTATTTTCATTTTTTAGGTTATAATATCTTACACCCCTACAATGCCCAAAAAGAAAATAAATTAAAATTAGGCATCAAAATGGGACCAAACAAAAATAATAATAAAAGATTAAAATAAATTATATTATATTTAAAGAGATTAAAAATATATTAAATTCAATTATAGTATAAAAATATACGTAGTTTTATCATGATAATTTATGTAAAAAGATTCATCATTTTTATTTATTTATATGAAGTTCAATAATGTTTATATATAAGAAAATAATATAATAATTAATCCCAAAATTATTTAATAAATAATTTTTAGTAATTAAGATTCCAAAAACATAATTTGAAGTTAAAAAAATATATGAAATAAAAATAAAAATAAAATTATAAATATCAAAAGTTAGATTTAACTATCATTTACTCATTTTTTAGCAATTTTGATTTCAAATAATCAATACATTCAAAATAATATTTCAAAATTTTATTTTATTTTTAAATAAAAATATATTTAAAGATGATATACAAGTATTTTATTATATAAAATTCATTAAATAAGTTTAACTACAATTATAAAAACTAAAATATTTAAAACATCTAAATTATTGTTCAACAATAACTTTATTTATTTAAACAAAGTTGAAAAGGATCAAGACACGTTTAAAATTATTTAAAATAATATTTCAAAAGTATATATTTAATAAATATATTGTTGGTAGTTTGAAACTAAGTTTGTTAGCAGTTTCAATTCACCAATGACTCTTGTTTCCTGCATCCCATGATTTTTCGCTTCACGTGTCGATGTTAAATATTTAAAATATTTTTTGATAATTTTATTTTTTATTCTAACCTTTTTTTAATTAGAAATAAATAATCGTTCATATTATATATATAAATTACATGTTATTACATTTAAATTACATAAACAGATTAAAATTATTCAATATGAAATAAAATTATAAAAATAAAGTTAAATTTTACAACAATCTATCCAAAAATATATTTAAAAAATAAATATAAAAATAAAATTGAGTTTAATATAATTCTGGGGATTCAGGTAAAAATTATGGGGTGGAGGAAGTTACAGCCTTCACCAATATAAACCTCGGCCCTGGATGCGATTTCTTGTCGTGGGCTTCCAGGCCCACTATCGTTTGTGGTTTCTCTCTTTTAATTTTCATTTTTCGTTATTTTTTTTATCCTATATTTACTAAAACTAATATTGCCTAATAAATAATCTATAAAAATATTTCGAAATATTCAAATTAATGAATTATAAAAATTTTCATATCAATGAATTTGAAATATATAATATATTTTTTATGTTTTAAATTAAATAATATATAGAGAAGTTTCATAAAAAAATTTAAAATTTGTGAATCTATAAATCCTTTCATTATCTTGACGTTGATTCATTATGAAGAAAGAATTTAGATGTATTGTTTTGAAAGAATTATGGATTCACCATAGATTCATCAACTAGATTCACAATCCAAAACTTAAAAAACATATTATATTATTGTGTAATGTAGATAATAATCTTTTGTATAATAAATAAGTCTAGAAACAAAATTAAAAATGAACAAGTAGAAGAATTGTACTAAAATATGCACGCGAAAGACAAGTAGAAATTAAGAAAAAAAAAATAACATGATTACTAAAGCAAAAATTGTGTTATTACAAGATAATAAAGAGTCAATATAGATGAGAGAAAAGATAAAAAAAAAAAATTCAAACTAAATAAAAGATTGATGATTAAAAGAGCGTGAATCCGGAAATCAAATATTAAAGACCGAATTGATGAACCAAGATCCGAGTACTATTTGTCGAGTTGATTTACAAAATTATAATGTAATAAGATAAATATTTCAAAGACATTGGGAAACAACTTTTATTACTCTTTCAATCTGTTACATAATATTTTTAATGAAAAAAAAAAAAAACACAATTGTTTTTGGCAGAATGTAGTAGTAATCCACAACATTTTGCGTGTCGAATTGTTGGTTTGTATAGTAAATTAAATAAATGTGTAAGGGCTCAATCCTCATTGATACAAGCCCTCCAATGCAATGAATGGATCAATATTCAGCACAAGCCTGACTATGAACATACAGTACAGAGTCTTTGCATCCAATTTCTGTTATATACATTTTTGTTCTTGGACAGCAGGTGCATGATTAGGCCTTGCCAATCTTAATCTTTTGGGGGTATACTTGAACAACCAGAAGACATGGTGCATCAATGATGAACTTCAAACACTTTGTATACTGAACCTAATAACATCTGAACCACACTTATTTGGTATATTGCTGCATCACAGGGTCCTAACCGCATAGGACTCACTTGAGAGCATTTTTGCATTTCCTAGACATTAATTATAAGATATATATTCCTTGCCAATGCTTCTCTGCACAAAAGATCACAAGGATGATGAGCAGAATACGAAAATGATAAAGAAGAATGAAAACTTTCAAATTCAAATGTTCTGTCCACTAATTTTTATATGTTGTTATAATAATAGTAAGGATAGATCGGATACCCTTTCAGGAGAGCATCATGATATCACACTTTAAGTTCTTTTCACCAAAGCAATTCCATTAGGATCACCTCCCCATTCTTCAAACACAACCAAGAAGTTACCACCTGAGTTCAGCCATGAGCGAGGAACATGATACCTGTCCAAAAGGCAAAAATATAAGCTCTCTTGGTATTCAAGCTTTTACATCAATAAGTGTTGGTGGAAAACAAGTTGCACGAATCCTCACCATCTTTGAGATGGTTTTCCGCAATTAATCCTGCACTTTTTATCAGTATAAAATCCAGCGTAGTTGCAAGCATTACAACTACCATGTGCTATATATCCAGGCCAATGGCGACCAATGCTGCGACCATTGATCCATACTTCACCCTTTCCCATGCTACCCATATCTAGAGCCAATGGATCATTGCCAGCTGGGGCACTAAAAGTTGCCTAAGGACATTAAGCCATGAAATGACTCAGTATTCATTCAGATAGAGGTGAGCCATGTATAACAGTAACAGAACAGAGATGCAACGTTTGTAGAAATTTAATTTTTACCTTGTACCATGTCAAAGGTTGTTTTTTAGCCACTAATGATCCTCGTGTCCATTCAACAGAGCTACTCCCACTTTCAGTGTGAAGGTTCAAGGCTTCACCTTTCAGTCCAACCTGTCCAATGGCATAGATGTTAAATTTAATTTTTATTGATGCATCTTTATAAAAACAGAAGTGCATAATCTTTTGAATGTTGCTCCAAATCTGCTCAACAATGTACTAGTTTTTCTTAGTGCCTACATGGGATAATTTCATCCACATTTTCAATATTCAACGATATAGTGGATTCCTGTCCATCCTAGAATGGCACAAATGTCAATTTTCCCATGAATTTTTGCTTCAATAAGGATCAAGTTTCAACACACATTAACAATTGGTATCCATTGGTAGAGTATCTTACTGTTTAATCCTCACCTCAGCATTTATTAATTTGTTGATCGTTTGTGTTTAGATAATTGTAAACCCACCACATTATTATTAAACCTTGTAATGTTGCTAGTGAGCAATGATTTATACAAGATCACAAACCTTGTAAGACCATTTCTGCTTAGACAAGTCTCGTGTCCCCTCATTTAGACCCTTCAGAGTGACTGGGCCTAACACCCCCGCATTCCATGTTTCAAAGTGCAAACCAACATTCTGGCATTAAACGAATACAAAACATGGTTAAAATTTAAAAATATTACTTACCAACAAATTAAACATGTTATAGGAAAGAAAATGGAGAACTAACCGGGAGACCAACCGCAACACTGAGTAATGAGAGCTTGTTGTTGCCAACCCTCAGGTTCACATTGTCACTAAATGTTAATTTAGGATTCCCCAATCCCCCATACACAGTTCCTGCATTCGTACAGAAGTTGAACTTGTCAAACTGGAGTTTATTACAGAAAAACGCTAGATAAAAAAAGCATAACAATGTTATTCACCTGAAAATTGACCATTAATGAAAACATGTAGCACATGCCCTGCTGACATTACAGTGAGAACAGGAGATTGTCCATTCTTTAAAAAACCTTCATTAGCATTAATGTAGACACTGAACAAAAGGACAAGAATATTGGTTAGATGGAGGAAAGAATTAGTATGCATAAAAAGAGATTAGCATTTCAATAATTTGTCTTCAAGAAGTTTGATAAGTTGAAAGATGCTTACTCTGTCATATACCACAAATAATCTGAAGAATCCCGGGTCACATTGACCTGTTCCCAAAGTGCCTCTGCTGCAATGGAATCAATTTGACTTGATGAGGAAGGTTCTTCATTGAACGACTCCCAAGCAAATGCACCGTTTACCGGAGTCATCTTTTTCAGCCAGCTGTTGACACCAACCTACATAAAATTGGTAAATTTTGTGAATATTTCACACTTCAAAAGCATTAATACTGTAAACACAATGGATTTCTGCTAAAAACACCAGAAGCTTTATTTGTCCTTCAAGTACAGCTTGAGGGGAACTCTCCAGTTTTTCAAAGAAATATGTCACATTGACACATTGTTTTTCCTCCATAAATAATTTCACATGCATTCCTTCATTAAAATCTTGGAATTCGAGCTTAGTCTAAACATCGTACTAACTATTGCCAATATTACAAATTCCCCATGTCGAGAACTATACATATGGAGCATGGGCAAATATGGGTGACCCAATAATAACACCCCTTCATACCTAGATATTGACATGTAAGATCTCGTCTTACAATTGGATTAAGGTGTTTTAATTCAACCCACAAAACCAACATGTAAGGTGAGAAATTTCCAAACCTTACAAAGACTACATTATCCATATCTTCTAGTCACTGTGAAATCTGGACATAAACAAAATGAAAGAAGCAAACTTGTCAGTCAGCAATCTAGTGTTACCTTTGCGGTGTTGTAAACTTCAGTTTTGCAGTCAGGAAGAATACTGATAGACCAAGGTGGTAGATCATATTGTCCACTACCAAATGTAGCTTTTGCAGAAGATTTGGTGTCATAATTTGCAATGAATGCCGCACAGGCACCAGGGGTGGAGAACACATGTGCCTAAGATTATATTAACAAAATTAATCAAATGAACTTTCAACGCACAGGCAATTCTGTTGGGTTTCATCACAGACCAACTTAGGGACTTTACCTCAAGGTTATATCCAAGCGATTGCACTTTAGGATCTGTAGACACTAAAGCAGGCTCACTTTGTTTTATTGCCTTATGCAAATCTCTCAAATGCCCCCATTTTGGTTCATTTTGAAGTCCTGGTACAGTGGTAAAATTGAACAAGCTTCAGGCTAATGTGAAAATGTTTTTCAGCTTTACCATGTTGTGCCTAAAAGTGAATCTGTGCACTTTGCTATGACAATAAAACTATCATTTCTTTTCCCTCAAATATCACTTTAGCCAAAAGCTTCCTTGAGTTTTCAAGAGCTTTAAAATGTGTCTTATTATTTATCATCATCCAAAGCAGGTAAACAATTTATCATTACTTCATACCGTATTCATCAAGGGGTGCGTCATAGTCATAGCTGGTGGCAATGAAGAGACCACTAGATGTCCGACCAAAGTTAGTTCCTCCATGGTACTAGATAACAAAAATGAGATATTAGACTCAAACCACCAAGGTTTCTAGAACATGAATTGATTGAATCATACTATGAACTATTCAAAATGGATAAACCATCATACCATATAGTAGTTAACGAACGAACCACCATTTTGTATGAATCTTGCAACCGAGAATGCCAAGTCTTCCGCTGGTCTAACAGGGACTGCACCACCAAAATCAGTGTACCTACAGAAAAGGAGATATGAAACTTACTATAGGAACAAAAGAAATCATCTACATGGTAGAATTTGTTGAGACTTACCAGCCAGTCCAATTCTCGGTCCACATTTTGGGTTTGGTGTTCTTGTTGGGCTTGAAGTTTTCACAGTAGAACCCATTGCAGGTGTCAATCTATATATATCATAGTCAGAAAATTAACACAGATCAGAGAGAAAGATCAAAGATGAGGGGAATCTATTTTCCTGTGAAAACACAAGCATTCCCTCATTAAGTAAGCATATAATTGAAACCAAATCTTGCACTTTCTCAAATTTTCTTTTTCAAAAAGAGTAAAGGAGACAGAAGCAAATCAACCACTGCACTTATAAAACAACCAAAACAAAGAAGCAAGAGAAAAGTGAAGTTATTAAAACCGTTGTGATAAGCCAAAACACCTTCCTCAAAATAAATAAAGGTAAAACTAACATAGTAAAAGGGTCAAATGGGCTTATGAGAGAACAGAAAAAAAATATCATGGTATAGTAAAAGCAATAACCTTATCCCAACCAAAGCAGCCATAATACTGTTTACAAACCCCACCACCATTTTTAAATGGGTCACTAAAATTTAACAGAATAGAATAAGAATCATGAGGAAAAAGTCAAAAAGTCATCTTGAAATCCAACTCCACACACACGAAAACGTTTTTCAGGATGAAGAAGTAACTTACAACAGGATCAGGAGCATCTTCTTGCTTGCACATAACCCATGGAACACCAGTGTCTAGACCAACAGCCATTTGAGCAGCCCATTTCGTATATGCTTTTCCAGGGGCACCAATTTCCCATTCCACTGGTCCATACTCGTTTTCAATCTGTCAATTCAATTACGAAACAACAAATTAAGCACCATCTTATTCTAATTGGCTCAATAAACTTTATAATAAAACAAAAAACTGAAAAAAACCAACAATACAAAAGATTATATACATATGTAGTCTTTTATTTACCTGTGACATGATTATTGGACCACCCTGAGATTGAAACAACTTCTCTTCTTTCATCAAGCTAACAATTTTCGCTGTGAACTTTTGCATTGCAGCCTACACAGATGATGACAAAAGATTGTACGGTTGGTCATATGATTCAATAATTCATTAAACTATTCATAATCAACCAATAATAATAAGTCAATTGTTATAACTGGTGAGGCTCCAAAATGAAAACACCAACCTTGAACGGTTCGTTGTCCGTTCTGAAAGCAATTCCAGGAACATACTTGAGCCAGACAGGAAATCCCCTGAACAGAAAACAGAGCATGTAACCTTTGAGTGATTCCTGAGAATCAATATTTTCCTTCTTTAAGCCAAAGATTTTTCCCTTCTCAAAAGGAGGTGTACATTCACATCATTAAAATCATTACCCCAAGTTCCATTCAGCACATACGTAGGGACCAATGCGGAGATGAACATAGAGGCCTGCTTGCTGCACTAGCTTCACGAACTTAACCAAGTCAAACCTATCTTCGAAATAGTACTGCAAATTTTTAACATTGTATAAAACACCAATTAGAATTGTCGACTATTAACTTTCTGATCAGTAAAAACAACAATCAATAGATTTTTTGCTTTCAAAAGCAATTTTGATCAGGTCGGATTCTAAATGTGAAAATCTCTCACAACAAGAATTCGAACTGTGGTTTGAGAAAGAATGGAACTGCTAAGAGCCATAAGGAAATGTATTTGCATTACTTTTCCAGGAGAAGGTTCATGACCATTCCAAAAAACATAGGTCTGAATGACATCAAGGCCTCCATCTTTGGCCTTTTGAATAAGGTCTGGCCACATCTGCAATAACAAACATGATTTAAGATGCATGGATGGATGGAAAACCGAAAAAAAAAAAAAAAAGATGGAAGAAATGGTTGAAAAACAAATTTTGATGCAGCCATGATGAAAATTTGGAGAGGAGCGTGTACTTGAGGTGTGCTTCTTGGGTAGTGAATGGAGCCAGACAATAAAATTCTCCTCTTTCCATCGATCACAATGGCTTTGTGGTCATAAGTCACAGAGGCTGTGACACCACAAACCCACAAAAACAGCAGCATCAAGACCACCCCATGAAACTCTCCCTTCCCCATTGAACTCTCTGCTATGTATCTCAAACCAACAATGGTGTGCTTCTCTCTTTCCTTCACTCCTGTTTGCTCATTTAAAGCTTGGAAAGAGAGAAGTAGCTTTGTTGGGTAGTTGTTGTTTGAGGGAAGTACCTTCTTTTTATACGTGTGTATTCTTTCAAGAGGGAGGCTCTTTTGTTACTACTACTAGGTAAGGTGTGTGGGTTTGATGGGTGAGTTGAGGTAAACGTTGATGCAAATGTTGCTGCTTTATATAGATTTGGAGAAGGAAAGAAAAGGAGGGAAGAATGGGACCCCTTTTCTATTCTTTGTTTTCTTCTCTTCATCCTTCACACGAAACAACTGCAGAACATTGCCCGTTAAGATATCTATGGCTTTTGCTTTGGGAATTGTAACTTGAATTTGGGTGGGAAGATTACATTCGAGTGTGAACTTACTTTAGTGATTTTGCTTTATATATGCACTGAAAGGGATGTGAAAATGGACGATGAAATGACCATGAAGGTTACTCTGTGCACCATTTCTTGACAGAGGACCTTAAACTGTCATTAATTGTCGTCAAAAATTAGTTTTTTAATCCATTTAAAACATTTTTCTTATGTTTTAAAGGATTGAAATTTAAAAAAATATTTTGATGTTTTATCCAACAATTAAAGGTTCTAATTAAGATAATAAAAATAAACAGCTTAGTTTATATAATAATAATAATAATAATAACTTAATAGGATGATGCTTCAGTATCACTCAAATTATTGCCACCCAAATATAGTTATATTTCTTGAAAAAAAAATAATTTGACTGAATTTTAATAAACAAATAAAATATTAAAAATGAAAATAGAGTAAATGAAAATGAAAAGTATGTTTACTACACATACTTTTGTTTAATATATTTTTAAATTTTATTAGAATAAGTTTCTATTATAAAAAAATATTATACTATCATTTAATTATGAATTTTATTAATGATAATTATTATTTTTTATAATAATTACAACATAGAAAAGTTTATAATTTGTTAATAATAAGAAATCTATTAATTATATTGTACAATTTTTTTTTCAAGTATATGAATTGTGCGTAAAAATAATAAATTGAATGACTTAATCATCCACAAATTTTGTTGCACCAAAGACTCTTCTTCTTGTAATGATTGTGCATTAAATAGTATTTATGGTGTTTGGGTTTGGGTTTGGGTGCCTTTCACATAATTTACAATGATTTGTTTGTTTGTGTAAAAACAAATGATTGGCAAAAAATAACATATGCTAAATGATTTTTACATAATTTAATTCATAAATTATTTTAAAAAATAAAAACCTTTTTTTTTTGCTGTTTCTGTTTTCTTACTGTTAATGCCAATTCAGTAATTTCGTATAAAGAAAAAAAAATCTTTGTTTTCACTTTTCAACAATATTTTTTTTAGGGTGAAGTGTTATTTCAACTACATAATTATTTAACTAGTTTTTTTTTTTCTAAATACTCATTGGTATTTTGAGTTACTGAATAAAGGGTAGTAATTGATCAAAATAATTATAAAGCTTTTATTATGGGATTCAAATAATTCATTTACACTAAAAAAGTGAACTTTAAAAGTGAAAATATATTAAATATAATAATTAATTATGATAATATATAGGGGTGTTTGCGGTGAATTATAAAATTGAAAAAAAAATTAAAGTCTTTGACAAAGACAAAAGAAAATGTTATTTTTCTTTCAAATTATCCAAATTAAAAATATTACTTTTAAATCTAAGAGATTAAAACAATATTTAAATAAACTCCTGAGATCTTATTCATTCAACTGCTTTCTTTACATTAATTGTTTAACATAAGAATCATAATCAAACCTAAATATAATGAATAGCAATAATTACTACCCAAAAAGATAACCCATAAAATGTATTAATAAAAAGAAAACATTGACTTACTGAATGAGTTTAAGTATGAAAACAAGTAGTTAACCTATCCAAAATCATTCAAATAATCTTATTGCCAACATTAGGTTAGGCATGGCAACAGGACAGTGACGGGTTTTGCCTCCCCGATCCCCGTCCCCGACTTTTTTAACCATCTCCGCCCCTGATCCCAGTTGGGGTTAGAAATTAAGTCCTTATCCCCGTCCCGCTGGGTTTCAGGTTCCCGCTCCGCTCCGTCCCCGATTTATATTACTTTTAAAAAGATAATTACATTTATAATAAATTAATTTTATTATCTATTTTTTATATATAAATAAATATTTATAATTTATAATTATTATTAATTAAATATACATTTTAATTTATTATATTTATATTAAAATATGTATGTAAAAGAAATATTTAATCATTTTTTATTTATAATATTATTATTATTATAATACTGTATTCAAATATTTGAATATTTATAACACTATTATTATAATACTCGTATTCAAACATTTGATTATATATATATAAGTTAATTCATTTTTAAGTTGTCATTTAAAAATATGAAATATATAGTTTATAAGAAAATATTTAATAAGTTAATTCTTATTCAATTAGTTCGAAGTAATAAAAATTTAAATTATTAATTCCTTTAATCCTTTAAAATATAATTATTTTATTAAGATAAAATTTGATATATGATAAATAAGAATAATAAGATAAAAAAATATGACATAATAAAACCTAATAAATATAAATTATAAATAAAATAATATTAGTTACTACTAAGATTTATGTAAAATATTTAGAAAAAGATAAAGAATAAAAAAAAGTTAACTTTGTGTTTATCAAATTGGTTGAAAAGATTGAAAAAAATAAATAAATTGATGGGAGAGATTAAGGAGATGTGAAAAACTGAAAGGTAAGAGAAAGAATAATGTAATAAATTAATTGATATAAAAGATTAAAAAAGACAAAAAAATTAAAAAGTGGGTAGAAGAAAAAAAATTTGGTGAAATATAAAAAAATGACCTTATATGTAATAGAAAAAGAAAATGAAATACTTTTAAAATAATAATATTTTTAAATTTAAATTTAAATATAAAGTCGGGCGGAGACGGGGACGAGGTCGGGGTGGGGATTGCATTACCCATCCCCGCCCCGCCCCGACTTTTAAAGCGGAAAACCGAACCCGCCCCATCCCGGTCAACTCGGTTTCTCTGTCAACTCGGGCGGGGACGGGTCGGTCCTCACGGTGATAAGTTTAATTGTCATCCCTACATTAGATATTGAATGTTTGATAATATTAATAATATTAATAAAAAAAAAACTTCCAATTTTAGTAGAATAAATGTAATTTCCAAAAATGGGGTAAGAGTGTAGTGATGCCATACATATTTTGTAGGATTATAAATGAAAAATAAAAATTGTACATTTATACATTTTCATTGTCAAGTTGAAGCATCTTCAACCACTTGTAACATGTACATTACATCCTTTGACTCCAACCATTACCTAGCTTGATTGGATTCCCATAATATTGTTTTTTTTTAAGTATGTTTTAATTAAAGTAATTCATTGGAGGTTATCAATTTCATCTAAATGACCTAAAGTCAAATGAATAAAATATTTTAATATTTTTATTTAATGGAATTCAATTTGAATTAAATTCAACAAACTCAAATAGTGATTCGTTTCACCCTTTTATTTTCACTGCTAAATGCTTTTTTTTTCTAGTAAAAATATATTTTAAGGGTAAATGTATCATATTTTGTTTATGAGTTTCAAAAGTGAATTCACCATATATTATATCCATATTTTATTTTTTCTATTTATATAAATAATATATTTTTTTCTGTGTTATTTTCCCACTCCTAATAGAATAGTTTTGAAATCTTGTCACCCTCAATCTGTAATCTTCCAAAAACTCAACATTTGGAATATGTGGGCCCCACCTCAAAGGAGTGGGTTCTATTTAAGTTTTCGCATTTTATTTATTTAATTATTTATTTTAATTATGTCAATTTGAGCCTATTCAGCTTTTATATTAATTCAAAACGAGTTAATTTAATTAATTTTATTTGGCAATTCAATAAAAATGCTTATTTTTAAAGATTTTTGTTTTGTTTTCTAGAAGCATAAACTTTCCTTTTCTTCATTGATACTTTCACTAGCTGATGAAAGAAAGACTGCAACAAGTATATTATGAAAATGCCCCTTCATCTTTGTGAAGCGTGTTGTAAATTTGTAAAGTTATTTAAAATGTTTAAATTCTAACAAATATACACTTAATAAGTATTTATTGATTGGTTCGTTTTTCTTAACTGTGATTTTCATTCCAAATGGGTGATGATTGTTTGGTTGATACGTTTATTTTCATCAACTACAAAAATGATATTTTATCTAAACATGTGTTATCATCTCTAGGGTTTTTGCCATGGAAAATTTTGTAGTACCTATAAATCCTTCAAACAATGATATATTATTATCTCAACACTTTATGCAAAGTTAAAGAAGGATAGTTCTTCGTTTAGAATGAGGTTTCTTCTTTGCATTTCCCCTGAATTTGCTTGCTTTTCTCAATATTTGAAAATGTGGTTCTAGGGTTCTAACCTTGTGTTTATTTTTGGATTATTTTACCTTCTTTTCATATGTTGGAATATAGAACTGTATTATGGTAAAATAAAACCATATTTAGTGTGTATTTATTTTAGCATCATATTATTAACATTTTGGTAGAAAAAAAGTGTAGGTAAGTGTTTGACATGATTTTGATTATAGATGTGATACATGGATGCAAGATTAAACTCATATAGTTCATATTCTGAATAATATTATCTGAAAAGAGAATATTCATGAAAAAAGAAGAAGAAAAAAAGAGTGAGGAAGGAGGAAGAGATGAGATTGCCACGTTTGTTGAAGGAGTGGAAATTAATGGAAAAGTTGAATTAGGGTTCCATTTGTTTCATGTTTCTTGCACTTCTTTTGATAGAGATAAATACTAGATATATGTGATCCTTTAATTATCTATACATGCTCTCATTCTCATCAGACAAACACCTATGAAACTTCTGATTCATATTGTCAAATTTTTTATGCATTAATACCAGTGAAATTGCGTATGAGAATAAGGATAAGCTTAAAATATGAATAATCTCAAAATAATTGGTTTTGATTAATTAGTCTTCCAAAAATATTAATAGAAAAAGGTGATAAACAAATAAAAATAAAAATTTGAATCATATAACATATAAAAATTTTAAGCTTTTAGCCCCACATGGATATAATATGTTGAAGGCCTTACAAGTCTTATCCATTAGTTTTACAATCTTCAATCTTTGAATTAAAACTTTATTCCTCAATATATAAGGCCAAAAGCATTGATACGTATATCTTTTTTTCCTTTTTAATTGACACCACCAAGTAAAATATATTCTTATAAGTCACCCATTTCAATACGCAACAATATAAACGAAATTTTAATAAAATTCTATTTTTTAGTTAACGAAATATACAACCAATATCTTTATTAATTTATTTATTCTGATTCCAATAATTGAATGCGTAGTAGCATAACCTATCCATATATAATACTTACGTAATCAAGTCTTCATTACATATATAAAAATATATCTTTCACCATCAAAATGTAAAGTTCCACAAAGCTTAAGATCAAAGCTAAACTTAATTCAATGCATCGTAAACTTTTCCTGTTTGATATATCTGTTCTGTTTCGTGATTCCGATACTGTTTTGTTTTGTTTTTTCTTTTTCCTCATAAAATTTGTGATTGGTTAGTTGAATAGAGAATCAAGTTAAACCAGACACACAGAACTGAAACAAATTTAGGAAGCCCTTGGAAGAACAAATACAAAGGTACTTTTTCTTAGGTAAATGGGGCACCCACCACCAACTTCACAACTTCTCATTCAATAGCACCATGACAACATTAATTTGGGTTACTTGAAAAAGTACCATAAAAGTAGATAAAATGAGAGGCATATTAGTGAAGACAATGGAGTGGGAAGTGAAATAATTTGCTCTGCTGAATTAGGTGCCAAAACAAATTCGATGGTGACATCATGCACTAAGCAAACTCCATGCACATTGGTTAGTGACATAGCCATTGACTCGATAACAATACTTTATTAGGTATTAGTTAAAGAATTGAACTTTGAACCAACATTAAATTTGTCCCTTTTTTCTAGTAGCCATGCCTCCTTCAAGTCTCAACAATTATTGATTGATCAAAAGCATTATGATGATGGATTAGTTAAGAACCGTCCTTTGTTTTTATTTTTGGCAAGTTGTATTCAACAAATGGCACTTGTTTTCCTGTTCAGCCATCACCACCCTCCACCTCATTCACACACAACAAAACTTAAGTCCCCAACTAATCTTGACCAAAAGTTTTTCCTGAATTTTTTGTGCCATTTTTTTACACCTGTTGCAAACCTACCATGTCATCTCTTACCAAAATACCAATAATTTTCATTGCTAGAGAAGTTGAGTGGTCCAAAGCTGAAAAAAATACAAAGAGTTTGGCTGAATTTATGGACCATGCTTCTCTGCCTTGGAATTTCATCAATAACCTCATGGAAACGCCAAGAAAATTCTTGGTGGTTTCAAGTCTCTGCCTCAGAACCACTATTGATGGAAACCACCAATCAAGTATGGACAGTTTGTTGTATCAGTTGGCCTTGTATTTGTTGTTGCGTAAGAACCTCACTCAGCCTTGTTGCTAATTGTGGCTCATGTGTGCTCAATCAATCCTTGTCATGATGCCTAGGATAACCATGTGCGAGACAATCACCTACGTTAATAAAATCAAAGCTGAAGTCATTCAAAGCATATAATTTATCCCAACTAAGAGAAATTTCCATCACTTAATCTGAAGTCTGATTCCTAACATGATCTAAAGAAAGTGCAGTATACATCATGTGACTAACTCCATCAGTTTTTGTTGGACAATGTACTTAACCAGAATCATTCATCAGATCTATATGACTTCACTTAGCCACATGTAATTCTTAATCTAATCAATTGAGCCGAATTCATTAATTTATGATATTTGCAAAGGAGAAGCGATGCAGAAACTAGAAGCAGACAAAGGTGGCTTTCCTTTGCGAAATTGTCGGAAGATGAGGTGTGATGTTTAGTTACGACTTATCTGTAATGACTCAGATTCAATCCATAAACACATTATTCCAACCACAAAAACATTACAAAGAAAACCATTTCGTTGTCACCATAAAACCACGGCTAAACGAACTTTGCTGGCTTTACTGTGCCCATCTACAAAAACGGCTCCACATCTTGTCATAATGGGGTTTCATATTTTGTTTTCCCAAGTAACTTTCATCGTAATCCAATGTAATAGTTTCAGACTTTATGAATATGTTTTTCTTTCATTATTCATTTCTCCAAAAACCATCTTGTTCTGTGGAATGATTACACGACAGTTCTAAAACTGAATCATGATAATTAATTGTTGCACTTACTTTTAATATACGCAAACGTTTTTGTTTTGTTCTTGTTTGGTGCGAGTGTAGGCATACATATGTTTCATTCACCTTCATACTCTACATTATACCAGCTATTAACATATTCTTATCTTATTAGCTTAATAATTATTCATCATAGATTGTCTTATTAAAAGTCTATGTTGATACACAAGAAGTCCATGGTATTGATTTAAATAATCTTTTCATGAAACATGTGATTTGAATTATTGTTTATGCTTAAAATTAATATTTAGTAATATTTTTTATAGTCATAAAGTCAATAAAAAAAATAAATTCACTTTTTTTTTTTTTAAGTTTATGAACTAATGAATCAATTTTAAAAGTATAACTATCAAAATTAAATTTCACAGTTTAATTCGTTCAATATCGATGTTTGACTAGGTGCTTGTATTTATCATTTTAGGTTGGAAAAGGAGTGGTGGGACAACGAATAAATTTGAGTTAGGTTATGAACACGAGTGAAGAGAAGTGTTGAAACTTGCAACTTGCAAATAATAATGAACCGTAGCAACTCCTTATCAACATTTTAATTTGCTTTTTGGTACTTTATAACATATTTTACGAATTACAAACCCTAACACTTCCAAACAGGCCTTCTTGTGATTTGGGCCCATGTCTGCTGTTAGGCCCAACAATGGATTATTGGGCTTCCATACTATTGGATCTGCTTCCACTACTTTGTTCAACCATCGAGAGAGTTGAATAATTGAAAAAGTCATTATAGCTTAACGAGTGATTTTTTTGAGTTTAGTTCTTAGTATATAATTGTGTTAAATATTGGAAGTGTTTTTAATTGTTCACAATAATTATATTTGATTGAAGGAGAGTTACTTCTGATGAAAAAACACAGGTAATATATAATTAAAGTAAAAGTCTTATCTTATAAATTGATTTTATATATATTTAAAATTATACATTTGTTTAATTTTAAGATGATATTATAAATAAATGAAAATATTGAGGAAAAATGAAGTAGAAATATTTTGTAAAATTTGAAAAGAACCAAAACTTTGGACTTACTCCATATAGCACACACCCCAGTAGTGATCTGCAACTTGCATACGTAGCCTACCTCAATATCGTTCAAAATACTATCACTTATCACTTTCCCAACACACACAACCAGACATCAAAATATCATGTTTCTGTTTTAGAGAAATCCCATGTTTCATATTCGAAGGTCCCAGTTGGAAGAAAATAATTCCTATGAAACTCCTTTGAACTTGGTCGAATTTAATGTATATATTGTGTTATATGCAACAAACTTATTACTTCAGGAATAAAACATAATTTAGAATGAAAAAAAAAAAAAACAGTTCTTAATATAAAGCTAATATTACATATTCATACAAAAAGGACATGACAAAATACTAACTTTCAATAAGTAGGGCATGAAGAAACAAGAGCCTTGAGTTCGTATGGTACACGACTCCTCATGGTTTGTCGATATCATGATTGGAGAGAACTACACACAACACACACGAATGCTAAATTAATGGTTCATGTCATAGTCAAGTTTTGTATAAAATCAACAAATGTATTAAATACCAAAACTTCAGTTGGTTTTGAATTTGACGTTTAAGAATGGAAACAAGATAAGGTAATATTAATCAAATGTATATAAGAGGTGTTTTAGTGTAGAAAGCTTTTTGTGTGTTGTAGATTACTAGCAACAAATGGTTATTGAAAGGTTGCTGGGTCTGTCATATATACCCCCACCAGATTCAGAAAATCTTGTGATGCAGGGACCATGCATATGTATGAATCACTGCCTCTTGGCAAAGGTATGGTCATAACTCAGAAGAAGGTGTTTCCATGCACACCAAAACTAAATACACAGAGAAAGACAACAAATAAATACAACATGACATTTTCATATCAACTAAAAATTCACTCTTCCTCTCAAACATTCTCCTTTTTTTAATATATATATATATACACACACGACACGACAAAATATAGATACTACTACCAACCTAGAAATTAGGAAAATTTGAATTAATGCTTGGCATATATGATTTTCTATTATATATCTTCTATTGTCATAGCAATTTTTTTAACATATTTCTCTGATAATTAGAATGTTAAACATTTAATGAGAAATAGATATGTTAATTATAAACACGAATTATGAATTGAAGTAGTATACTTATTGATGCATGAAAAAATAGGGATTATAACGTAAATATATATCCTACACATCACTAATGATCAACATAAAGGTTTGGATATCGAATTGTAGATATTAATATGAGATTATAACTAAAGAATATCTTTTTCACTGTTGAAATATAATATATATATATAATTTAAATAATTGATATTATTTATCTACAATTATTATTTTTTAATCATATTTTTTTTCTTAATTTAGAAACTAAAGACAAATTTTGTTTTGTTATTAAAATTCCAAAACATAATAACATTAAAAATACCCAAATATAAGATGAAAAGAATTCAAAGATAATTTTAACTCTCTCAACCATAAGTCATAATTAAATATCTCCCTAACCTAAGTCATAATTAAGATGTAAGTTTAAGTTTGATTGAAAATAATATATATTTTTTTTATTCTCTAAGATTTTATCTTTCGAATAATTTTTTAAATAATATATATTTTAAAAAAGAATTATTGAAATAAAATATTTGTAAGTTGATTTATCCAATTATATAGTTTATTACACAAAATTTAATAACGGAAAATAAATTTCTCTCATGTAATACAATTATTTTTCTATTTTGTTTTCCCTTCATTTTTTTTTCATTTTTTTCCCTTTTATTTGGTTTTCCGTCGTCTTATTCTTTTAATTAAAATACTAAACTCAAATTTGACAAAATAAATATTTTATTATTTATAAAAATAAAAAATATTTAAATTATAAAAAAATATTTAAATTATTTTAAAGTAACTTTTTAATAAGTATTTTTTAATTACCTAATATGATTAACCTTCACTATTCAACTTAATTATAATTAGATTAAATTCTTATATAAAAAATACATTTAACTCATAAATGTTCAATATTTTTTAATTAAATGAATAACTGATTTATTATGATAAAATAATTTAAAATTAATTATTTATGTTATCATAAATAAAGTTATTTACCGTTATAATAATTAGTTGATATATTTTTAGTTACAAAATTAACTTAAAAAATTTTATATTAATAAAATTTTATTAAATTTTAATTAAAAAAAAAAGCAAGTGGGAGAGAATTGACATACAAAAGAGAATCAAAAGTGGATGGGGAGAGAAAAAAATTTATGAGAGAGAAAAAAAACTATAACAAGAGAACAATAAAATATATATATATATATATATATATATATATATATATATATTATTTATAGAATTGATTTTATATTTTTTTATAAAATTTCAATTAGACACATTTTTCAATCATTAATATCAAAATAAAGATATTTTATTTGATGATATACAAAAAAATTGAATATTTACTATTTTTGTTTTATTTTCATGTATTTTGATATCTTATTTACAACAATAATATATTTACGATGACAGGTTAATTAAGTCACCATTATTACCATATATATATATATATATATATATATATATATATATATATATATAAAGATTTTAACCATAATTAATTTTGTTTTAACAAAAGTTAATTAAAACTAGTGTTTTTAATATTTGTAGATAATTGTTGCCAAATGTAAAAAATAAGGCGATAATTTAAATAATAAATGTGGTTGTGTGTAGATTTGTTTAAAAATGATTTTCATGATATGAATTACGATTTTATCAATTTCATTATTGTATCAATAATACATATTTTCAAAGTAAAAATAAATAGAAAAAAATTATTTTGACAACTCACTTATTCAACATTCATCTTACAATTCAATTTTCTTCAACATTTATTCAAGGTTTATCATGAGTTATTGAATGAGAGTATTGGATGTTACAATCTCAAAATTAAAGATAATTTGGACCATAAGAAAATGAAAACAATGAAAAAGTGACATGGTGATATGATGATATATGGGCACAAAGTAAAGATGAAAAAGAGAAATATGATATTGTGTGACATGTAGTGTGAGGATCCCAAGATCATAGGATGAGAAAGATAGAGACACAATTATTACAATTATTGGAAGAGAAAATAATCACCTGAAAAAAAAATGTATTGAAACATATTAAACTAAATATATAATAAAAATTTAAAAAATTATTATTATTGTATCTAAATACAGCCGAACAATTATTTTTAAAATTATTGTTACAAATAATAAGTACAATTCTATTAATATGTAATGGTAATTATTTTACCATTAACTTACAATTACTATATTAAAACTATCATTGAAAAATTTAATTTAATTAAAAAATATCATTACATATTTTCAACAACAATTTTATCGGAGTAATCATCTTCAAACAATGTTGTTGTAGTAAAATTTTATATATTTTTGTTAGTAATTTTAAAATAAACAAGAGTGTCTAATCCATAAATCTAATACTAAACATTCCATTAATAAAGTTTAAGTGAGTTTTTTTATTTTATAGTTGATTGAATATGCTTCTATTTGAGTTCATAAAATGTCATATTCAACAATGTTAACGGTGGTGAGTTTGTGCTTTCCTATGTTAAATTCACTATCATAGTGCGTATTTGTGCATCTGTGATTTCAAACTAGGGACTGTTTGAAATCCTATACAAGACACGATGAAATAAAACTTATCACACTCAAATAATATAACAGTAATAATACCCCCATTTTCAACTGGATTTGCATGTACACAACTGATCTTGTATGTATATTTGTTTTCCAAAGGGTAGATTCTATGTCCCACTCTTCTTTCAATAATAGCTTAGGTTACAAAACTAATATATGTTTGGCCAAAAAGCATTTGACTCATGCCACAAGATCAGTCTTGTGACCAAATCATTGGTTAGTGATGTGTGATTACATTATCCCTATCATCATGTGTGGCCACCGTATCTCTTCCATGGTTTCAAGTTTCATCTAGGCATAGGCAGTGGTAAAAAAGAAAATTTTGCAGTTAGGGTTTTTGTCATGCTCATGGGGTCAGCGCAGTGCCACTCCACACTCTCCTCAAACAGTTTGTCTTTTCGATTTGTCTGTTTTAGATGTTTCTAAGTCACGTGAATGTCTTACAGTGATAGCTCTTAGTGCTAGGCTGTAATATCTATCATCTGTTCAAACGAGTTTTACCATGGATCTTGTACCAGAAAGTTCAGAATATATCAGAACCTTTCTGCCTTTTATTTTCTTCTCTTTTCTCTTCTTTCCTTCTCCCAAGCCTTTCTTAATTATAAACTAGACAAAAGTAAGGCTTGCTTCTGCACTGATCTATTTCTTTTTCTCTCTCTCCGCTTGGTACGCCAATCAAACCAATGATACCAACTCATCGTTATTCATTGTCTTCTCCTATGCCTATAGATCTTAACGAAGATCACACCCACATGCTCTTCAGTACAAACCATCTAGCCTCTTCTTCATCTTCTCTATCTAATTTTATTCTCCTCAATCCAGATCAAGATCAAGGAGGATCTTGCCATTGGGAATCAAAATCCTTACAAAGTGATGAAGAGGTCTGTGTAGTTTTATTTGTTGAACCTAGATATATACTCTTATACACAAAGATACAGAAACAAAAAGTTTAGTTTGCTTTATTTACAATTATACTTATAAATAGAGTTTGACAAATAGAGCATGATCATATTCATGATCTTACTTGTTATTTAATTGATTACTTGTACACATGCAAATATTTTTTGTTTGATGAATTTAATCATGTGATATCCAGGTCGAGAAGATAGTTCTTTCCAGTGGATCATGGAATCATGCAGCAGAGAAGATTGACAAGAGAAGTGATCACAAGCTGAGAGTTTGGAAGAAAGAAGAGGAGTGTGAAAGTCTTCAAAGAGGTGAAGATAGTTCTACGAGGTGGATGCCTTCAAAGAAGAGAACGGTGCGGAGGATTAAGGTGTCAGATCAAACGGGATCTGATACAGCATGCATCTCAAACTCTAAGAAGTTCAAGTATGAAGAAAAAAATCCACCACTATCACTGGTAGGAACTGATGACAGTCACTATAATTCTTCTTCAAACCACAACAATGTCACTGTTAGGGTTTGTGCTGATTGTCACACAACTAAGACCCCTCTGTGGAGGAGTGGACCAAAAGGTCCAAAGGTATATATTTCTTTTCTCTTTTTTTCATTATAAGGATTCAACCTCTAACAACATTTTTTTTTCATGAAAAATCATAATTTGCTCTAAGTTTTTCCTTTATTACTGTGCTCAATCATAACTAATTTTTCTGTAACAACAAAGCAATTACTTAATCTCTTTAATTTGTTTAGAAACTCAGTTGAAAGATAATGCAACTATTATACTTCGAATAAAACAATCAAATTCTTTCGTCTTTTTATCTTAAACAAACGAATTATTGATAATGAAATTTCAATTCGGTGTAACAGTCACTTTGCAATGCATGCGGAATTCGACAAAGGAAGGCAAGACGCGCCATTGCTGCAGCTGCAACAGCAATTGGAACGAATCTGGTGAAGGCTGAGAAATCTGAAATGAAGAAGGGGAACAAGTTACATAACAAAGGGATGAAGTCCAAAACTGGGGGTGCACAAGTGTTGAAAAAGAAGAGTAAACCTGGAGCCAAGTATAGAAAGAGGTTTGGTGCTTTCGAGGATTTGACAGTAAGATTGAGTAAGAACCTCCAACAAGTTTTCCCTCAGGATGAAAAAGAGGCTGCAATCTTGCTAATGGCTTTATCTCATGGCCTACTTCACGGCTTCCCCTCACATCGTTATATCACTTAGGTTTATCAGATTAATTAATGCTCAGTGTTGTGCTAGATTTAGTGAAGTTAGTAGTATGAGAAACTGATAATTGGGACAATGTTATGAGGTGGGTGGTTTTCTCAAGTTGATTATATGATGGATTTTGAACAAAAAGACAAACAAAAAATTACAGTGTCTAATCATGTGATCACGAGTATCCTATGATCTGAATAAATTTAATAAAATTCCGAGGGATTTTATGCAGTACTTTTGCTTTGTTTTGTCTTCATGATCACAATTGTATTATTGAATGTTCCAATTTGGTTCAATATGAATTCTTCCTCTTTATGGATACTTTATAGGAATTGAAAATTGAAATATATCACATTTAAATCACTTATAATTGAAATTCTTTTTCATCTTCCAAATACGTTATCGAGGCGGTGACTTAGATTCCATTCAAGTAATTTGAAACCTAAAAGATCCTTATACAAAAGGTAAAGGTGACCCCTTTAAGGAAAAGGTTATGGCAGGGTGGAAGATGTTCAGAGTAGAAAGCAACAGAACTGATTTTAATTTATATTTATATTTTTTACCAATTTCATATTTGACCTAACAATAGTTTCTCATTCATGACATTGCAAAATGGTGATTCAGGTTTTTTGTCCCATGAGACCTCTAGAAGAGGATTGTAGCCCATATTAAAATTAATGTCAGTGGTCTTCACTTTAGGGGAAGAATTTATACTATCAATTAATTAAAAATATTTATCATTAGTGTAATTTTTAAGATATATTTATTATCACATATTGGTTACTCAATTTTTTCCATTTTTAATTAACTTAGGATTTTAACTCATTATTCCTTATCTTTTGGGCAATTGTTTCACTTCAGATGATTGTATTTTGTGATGAAAATGAATCTATTTCAAATTATGACAAATTTTCTGAAAAAATATATTAAATCTAAGAAAAAAATAATATCGTGAGAGTTTAGGATTTAAAGATTTAATTAAAATTAAATTAGATTTAATAAAATAATATTTTATAATATAATGAATTTAGTCCAAATGCATAACATTTAATATCACTTTATTATCACTTTATTATTTCATTGTGCTATAAATAATAAATGTTGAAAAAAGAAAAAATGAACACAACATATCTCTTCTATCTCATTTGTCTTTTTCCTTAAACATCAATAATTATTTAAATTAATAATTATACATAAAATAAATTTTAATATTATTTTTTATAAAAATATCCCTTGTCCCTATAAATCCCCTACCTTCACTTCTTTGCTGTGATCTCTTCCCTTCTCTCAACAATGGCGTGTCTGTCGCACCTCAACAAACTCCTATGCGTTCCACCGCTCAACTCCTCACCCTCTCTTTCGCCACCGCGCGCCCTCGGGATTTGGACCAAGCCCGTCGGAAGGCTCGGGATGGTCGCCGACTTTGCGAGTTCGGCGTGGCGAGTCCGAGCGGTGACGAGCGACGATGAGTGGGGCTCGGAGAAGAAGGAGACGTACGTCGGCGGCTTGGCGGTGGAGGAGAAAGTGGCGGAGCCGGAGACGGAGAAGCTGAAGAAAGCTTTGGTGGATTCGTTCTTGGGCACGGATCGTGGACTGAAGGCGACGAGCGAAACGAGAGCAGAGATCGTGGAACTGATCACTCAGCTTGAGGCCAAGAACCCTACACCTGCTCCCACCGACGCCTTGACTCTCCTCGACGGAAAATGGATTCTCGCGTAAGCTACCTTCTTCCACCAATTGCGCTGAACCTAATTTGAACTTCAAATTATTGTTTAACTAAAAAAGTTTTTTTTTTATAAATAATTTATTATGATTTTTAATATATTTGAATAAATTTAGTTAAAAAGTTGAAGCATATAAAAAGTTTTTTCTAGAAGCATCTCCTTATAAAAAGAACAAATTCTTGTGAAAAAGCAAATTGGGGTAGAAAAAAAGAGATTTTTAAAAAAAGTACAAAAGTTTATATAAAAATAAATCACTTTTGAATAATATTTTTATTATTTATTTTCAAAATTATATTGGGAATGGATGCAACAGTACGAGGATTCTGTTACCTATTTCTGGTTTTTTAGTTTAATTTTCTCTCTCAAATTTGTGTCTTCTAAGTCATTTTATGATTTATATTTAAAATATCTTCAAGTGATTGTTCTTACAAATTGAAGTTTATGTATGTTGTATGTTGTGTAGCTTATTTTTGTTTTGTTTGTTTTGGTTGTTGCTATCAACTTGCCACTAGCAACATGTTTCATGTTCCTATAAACATAATAATTGTTATGGTTATGTCCCTGCAAATTATGACTTTTTGCTTATAATCCACTTTCAACATTAGAGTTCTTTTGTTTTCTGTCATGTTGGGTGCTAAAACAAGCAATGACAAATATTGTAGGAATCAAAAGTTAAAAAATAATGAAAACAATAACCTTTTATATTTACAGGAACAAAAAATATATTTGAAGTTTTTTAGTTTTCTTCTATGGATTCTGTTCTTTCCCGTGTGAACTCTGAACAGAAACTTACCAACTCATGGGTGGCTTGTGGTTTCCGCAGGTATACATCCTTTGCAGGTTTATTCCCATTATTGTCAAGAGGAACAACACTTCAGTTGGTCAAGGTAGAGGAGATATCTCAGACAATTGACTCGCAAAATTTCACTGTCCAAAACTCTGTTCAGTTTGCTGGTCCTTTGGCCACCACCTCAATTAGTACAAATGCCAAATTCGATGTCCGAAGTCCAAAACGTGTGCAGGTTTGTGTATGTAGTGAATTGAATCTTGACACTCATCATATATTTTAGCATTATGATTTGGACTATTTTTCTTGCTTTGTAGTAGCTTAACCTGTTGATTTAGCTTCAGAAGTGACATTTTTCTCATGTTGCATATTGTTTAGATAAAGTTTGAGGAAGGCATCATTGGCACACCACAGCTTACAGACTCGTTGGAGATACCAGAAAATGTGGAATTTCTGGGTCAAAAGATTGACCTCACTCCTTTCAAAGGTATCCTTAGCTCTGTTCAAGACACTGCCTCATCTGTGGCGAGAACAATTTCAAGCCAGCCTCCCTTGAAGATCCCAATTTCTAACAGCAATGCACAATCCTGGTTACTCACTACATACCTTGATCAAGAATTGCGTATCTCAAGGGGCGATGGTGGCAGTGTGTTTGTTCTTATCAAAGAAGGAAGTTCTCTTTTGATAACTTAAACAAAACAAACAACAAACTCTACCTCGGGGATCATATCCCGATTATGTTTATAAATATGTAAACAATGATTCTGAAATACATGTATAGACCATGGTTGATGCTGTGAAGCTAATTATTGTTTGTTAATGTGACATTTCATTGGCAGAAGCCAAAGGCATCAACCAGTTCATCTAAGATCATAAAAGAAAATGAAAAATGTAAACAAATGAAGCGGCTTTGATTTTTTTTATTTTTTATTTATTGATAAAAATGAAAAAATAAAAATAATAACCAGATGAAAAGTAAAAAAATATTATTGATTTTTTGTATTTTTTTTATGAAGGGGACTCTGTTATGGGGTATATTGGATAAAGAATTTAAAGAGATTCCATAAAAAATTCAATCATATAAAACAAAAAAATCAAAAATTGAAATTAACCACGTGATATTTTATATATGAAACTTAAAAAAAAAATATTTAAAGATGTATTGTAAAAAACATATTTTACAAATATTATATAATTTATAACACTATAATAATGAGTAATACATAAATAATTAAGTCACTTAGTCCTTATTATTTTCAGACATGTGCATTTTTTTCCTATTAATACTTGTTTCTCTCTAAATTTTAAAGTTATTTTTAAAAAAATCTAAAAATAAACTGAACAGGATTATAATTTACTTACATGTTTTTAATCAAGACAATGAAATAACGATAATAAGGAATACAAGTTTTAGTCTTACATAGTAATGAATTAAGTATTGAAATTATTATTTTTCATTAAACTTATAAAATCTTAAAAATACATTTATCTAAATAAAAAATTATAAAACATTGTTAGCAAATAAAAAAGAAAAAACTTAACATTGTATAATTAAGATATTTAAATTTATATTTTTACCGAAAACACATGTACTGTGATCTCACTAAAATGTTGATCTGTACGGCGGAAAGAAAGAGATATAGGCCCATTTAAAGTGTTTGGACTTGGATTCAAAAGTTTACTGGGTTCAAATGTATTGCATAACCCAAAAGTCATGTTCCACCTTCCCCTGTTTTTCGATTATATTATATTTTGAAGTAATCTTATCATTGTAAATTATATTTAAAAAAAAAAAAGGTGCGGAGTCCTAGTAAATACATGTGTGTGAGAAAGAGTAGGAACCTGCATGAATGCCACGAACTTGGGATAATTAATTCCGTCCTCGTCCCGTAGAGTTTCACGGAAAAAATTCGAGTTGATGGGGGATGGGTTTAAATTTCCCGCTTTAAAAAGTTGGGGACGGGGCGAGGATAGGTAATACAATCCCACCCCGTCCCTGCCCCGACTTTATATTTAAATTTAAATTTTAAAATATTAATATTTTAAAAATATTTTCTTTTCTTTTTCTATCACATATAAGGTCATTTTTTTATATTTCACCAATTTTTTTTTCTTCTACCCACTTTATAATTTTTTTTATCTTTTCTAATATTTTATATCAATTAATTTATTACATTATTCTTTCTCTTACCTTTTAGTTTTTCACATTTCCTTAATCTCTCCCATCAATTTGTTTTTTTTTTCAATCTTTTCAACCAATTTGATAAACACAAAGTTATTTTTTTTATTCTTTATCTTTTTTTAAATATTTTATATAAATATTAGTAGTAACTAATATTATTTTATTTATAATTTATATTTATTAGGTTTTATTATGTCATATTTTTTTATCTTATTATTCTTATTTATCATATATCAAATTTTATCTTAATAAAATAATTATATTTTAAAGGATTAAAGGAATTGATAATTTAAATTTTTATTACTTCGAACTAATTGAATAAGAATTAACTTATTAAATATTTCCTTATAAACTATATATTTCATATTTTTAAATGACAACTTAAAAATGAATTAACTTATATATATATAATCAAATTTTTTAATACAATATTATAATAATAGTGTTATAAATATTCAAATATTTGAATACAGATGTTATAATAATAATAATATTATAAATAAAAAATTATTAAATATTTCTATTACATACATATTTTAATATAAATATAATAAATTAAAATGTATATTTAATTAATAATAATTATAAATATTTTATTTATATATAAAAAATAGATAATAAAATTAATTTATTATAAATGTAATTATCTTTTTAAAAATAATATAAATCGGGATCTAGACGGGACGAGAACCCGAAACCTAGCAGAGACGGGGATAGGGACTTAATTTTTAACTCGACGAGGATCGAAGGCGGGAACGAGAATGGTTTAAAAAGTCGAGGACGGAAATCGAGGAGGCAAAACCCGCCTCCGCCCCACCCCGCCCCGCCCCGCCCCGCCCCCCTTGCCAAGTATGTATGAGAAAGAGTGTTACAAAGTGTGACAATAATATTGTAATAGTGTTTGGACAATCCAATTCACGTCTCATCTTGAACAGTAAGAAGAGGAGGAGGAGAATGACAAAATGGGATTTTTGCTATCAAGCTTTTATGGCTAATAAATATTTCTAAGTTTGCAAGGACCACACAGGCTGGTTTCATTGGATTCTAACCATATCCATTCTTCCAAAACCCATCCATGTTTCCATCACTTAACTGACAGAGTCAATGAACACAATGCTTTGCTTGAGCACTCTACCTAGATCAGTGTCCAATGTTGAGGATAGTAACTAGTGTCAAGCTAATCTCTCTCTCTTTCTCTCTTTGTTTGGCTAACATATTAAGTTATTGTATTTGTTGAATTCTTCTTCCTGCAATGCCAGGAACCATCATGGTTTCAGGTACTAACTTTCATGTAGAGTATAGCAAAGCAATAATTCAAGCACCGAGTACCAGGTGTTTTTTTCTTCTTCTTTTTTTTCTTACTTCTCTGTTCATTTTACAGTACTGGAATTCATGGATCTTCCATTATCTTCAACAACATCCATAAGGGGTATGCAATAGATCTTGTTTTTGAATTTATTTCTATCTCTCCCCTTAACCACATTGCTCATGCCAATTATAACAAAGTTTAGGGGTGAATGCATGCAGCTTCCTTGGGGAAAATAGAGTACCAAGTGAATGATAAGGAAAACTTATCTTTGTAAGATTGTATACCTTGTTTATGTGATTTGTGGTCGTAATAACAATTTCTAGTTTGTAATCTGTTTATTCTGTTGTTTTGTTCAGCCCCTTAACTAGCATCCGTGATGATTTGATTTTCAAAATTGAGGATGCTGAGGGGAATGAAATATCACGTACAGGTTGTTTATCAATATACATCCTATTTGAATTGGCCTTTTCAAAATTTGACACAGTAAGTTCGCCTAACGGGAAGTAATAAACAAATGGCAGGTATTCAAATAAAGTTGATACTAGAGAAAGGTGTTTTGGAAGACAACTTTCCACTTGGGGGTGGCCGTCTGCGTTTGAAGTTGCAATTCATCCTTAGTGATGAAGAGCGCGACAGAATTCGTTCATTGGTACTGATTGATTTTTCTTATACAGTTTTAATGCACTTATGCTTATGAACTTTCTTCAGTACTTGATATTAAATGCCTCAGCCAATTATTGCTTTGGTACTTAGCTAATGGGATAAAAATGAAATGTTTATAATTAAAATTATAAGATGATATCAAAATCTATCCTATATCTATTAAAATGACCACTCATGAATCTCAGTATTGGACATGAGAGGATGTATTGGAAAAAATTCAGGTCTAGGATCTTCTAGATACGGCAGAAATATGCTTACATCATGTTATAAGGCAGTTTTTAAGAGTTAAATTACATTTAAAATTGTTAACTTGTAGAGACAACATTTGATGTTGTGGTTATTAGTGTTCCTCCATATTAACTTCTCACATATTTAATTTTGAAGAGACAATCTGCATTAAAGAAAAAACATGATGAGCTTCTTAGTAGTGGCCGAGGAGGAGCAGAAAGCGACAGTAGAGCTGTTCTTGGCAATGCTGCATTACCCTTCAGCAGAAATGATGAGGTCTCAGGTTTGATCTTACTTAGCTGATTAAAGAAGCAATGAAAATTTAAAGCAGAAATACAATAAAGGAGTTAATGAGAAAAGTATGCAGAACCTTAATAGTTATGAATGACATCCTACATTCCCTCAAAGGCTTTTTCCTGATGTTTTAAGTGCTCCATCTTCTCAAGAATCACCAAAGAAACACCTTCAACAAGAAGCCGTTTCTCAATTGCAAGTTCTGGCTGGTTCCCGTGATGATAAAGAAACTGATACTAGAAATGTAGTTGGGACTCAGCTTGACCAGAAACAGCTGAAGCCAGTTAAGGATTAACTAATTTGCTGCAGTCTATTTTCATCCCATCCCAACACATTGGAAAATATACTGTTGTTTGTTTAATGGTCATTTTACATGTTTTAGAACAATGCAGATCAATATAAGGAGTCCTCATCCACAAAACCTGTGTCACAAGCTGTTACTCTCACTCAATCGCAACACAAGGGTAAGAAGCCTGCTTATCAGTCACCATCTCCCAATCAGTCTCCTTCTGGTAAACATCCTCAGAGAGCTATTGGTTCAGAAGAAATTGCAATTTTGTTTGGCTCAGAAAAAAATGATGCCCCGACAAGTAATCTGATACAACCTAATCAAGAGGAAAGTCGTCTTCAATATTCTGAGAAGAGGTCTTCATTGGGGAGAATTCCAAGTAATGTGAGGAAGATGATAAGTGCCTTTGAAGGTGGATTGGCTCAGGTATTGTTGTGCTTTTACAGTATCATCAGCATATTATTGAGAACTCTTCAACAAATGGAGTTCACATGGAACTTGTCTTCAAACAGGATAAGAGATCTCAGATTAAACCATCTCCAACAAAACAACAAGAAAGTTCAAATGAAAGAAGAGATTCTTCCAAGACTTCTCAGCATTTGGTGCGATATGAGTCAAAGAAGACAGAACCAGCAGAATTCCATGAAAGGGTGAAAAGTACATCCCTGGTAAGAGACTTGCAGCATGCCCCCACCATACATTGGAGAAAGATGATAGTAAATTAACATGCTTAATTATGTATCAGTATCACCTAAGGACACGGTGCAGTTGGAGGAGGGGAGCACCATAAGTATATTGAACAAACTTATTCAGATGGCAAAAATAATTCAAAGTAGTTCGTAACATAAAATAGAAACATAAGAAAGAGAATAAAAAAATGATGACAGCATCAACATTTGAATTAGTTACAGTTTAAGTAAAGATGCATGAGAAACATTCAGATAAACATTTTTACAAACTATTCAGTTCCAAGCAAAATTCTGCAAGCATACAAGAAAAGGAAATCCCTGTATTCAGGGGTATTCACCACAAAAGCTGGATTCAGTGTTTCACTATGACAAAAGATATTTTATTGTCAAAGCTTTACCTTTGAGCCAAAGCTCACCCTCAAGTGGATTTCAACATATAAACTGGAAATTAGATTAATAGAATCAAATTATGTATTTTATTCTTATATTTTTGTGTAGTAGAACCAATTTGATTATCTTATATGTTATTTTATTTTTGTGTTACAGAATGCAGCACATGTTGGAACTGGAACCGAGGGGAGCAAGTATGAAAAGATACTAGATATTAAAGAATCAAAGCCCAAGACCTCTGATAACAGTGGAGATGAAAATTCTGGAGGACCATTTAATCAGGTTATTATCTACTTTTAATAAAAGAAACATTGTTGTGTAGCATGAAAATTTGAATATAGACATTGGAAGTGATACTCTAGTTAAATTATCATTATTTCATATTTGCATCAGTGCCCCCAACTACGCAATGAGTTTCATTAAACAATGTTGCAATTATCTATCTTGTGTTTCAATAGATTTTCAGTCTTAAATAGAGTTTAGTACAGGTTGCCATTTCTCCTCTATTTTACAATGTGCTTGCTGCTATTGTTGAATAAGATGCTTATATGTCCTTTTCCTCATCTTCACTTTTCAGGTAGTAAAAGTTGCAATCATTGTAGGATTTGGATTACTTGTTCTCCTAACCAGACAAAGAAGAAAGAGGTACGTAAATTAGGCGATTTCCTAGTTACATTTCTTTTACTTTGGTCCTGTTCATTATATCATATCATGAACCTCCTTGTCAAGGAATCAAATGCAGTTAGAAATTGAAACAATACAAACCTTGTTCATGTGTTTGATAATCTATTTCCTGTTATATCCTTGTAGGTTAATTTTCTTTAGATGGCATATAAATGGTTTTCAGTTCTATTATTCTACCCCGTTTACTGGCACAGTTTATGGATTTTGTTAAAGAAATCATGCTTCATAGCATAGTACTGTGGTCTGGGAGCAACTTTTTATGACAATTGTTTCTAGTTATGCCAGGATGATCCAAATTGTTCTGCTTCTTCCTTTTGTATGTAGGAAATTCAAATAGAAATTAAGCAAGAATTATGGACTTATGTTTACAATCATCCAACAGAGCTAGATTTAGATAATCTTAGCAAGAATCATAGATGTTTGAATCATTTTTCTTTAACTAACATCCATCTTGACACTGAGTTGTTCTAAGAAATTATGCTCCAATTCTCCAAGAACTTCTAAGTGCTTGTATGTGTGTATTATGTAGTAATGGAGAGAGGCAAACGGATGTATTTAACTCTCTGAATTTACCAGAATGAAGAAGAAGAGTGCCTGAGAATCAGTTCAACAAATCTCAATTTTCAAATTCTTCATTTGTTGAAGCATGCACGAGCATCTACAGGCTGCAATCAAGTCAACAACTTGCAAGTTCAACACAATGGGCCAAATTTAATGCAATCTTATCCTGCAATGCAGCATAAACACTAATATTCAATTTCGTTGAGAGACTTGAGGAAAGTTAGGTTCATTTTCCACACTGATGGAGTAGATTTCAGTAACTATGTTCTTTTATTGCTTCCCTATACAATAAATTGGATACGATCTGTAAAGTTTTTCTTGATAAATAACCAGCCCAATTTGTGAATTTATGAAATTCATGAGATAGTATAATAGACTACGTGTTAACTTTTCTAGAAACAAGTATAAATCTTACTAGTTTTATGAAAACACGTATCTTTACAAAACCTTTTTCATTGTAGCATCTTTATCGTTACAAGAGAATATTTTGATTAAAATGTCATCGAGATACCCCAATAATAGAAAGTAGAAGATTTAGTTTTATTGCCACAAGGTCACGCAACTTATACTTATTTGGAAATTTATTATTTTGCGTGAGTAGTATATGGCTCTGTGTTTGGACCTCCATTTGTCGATGTTTTGTGTGTGAAAGGATAATGAAAGGGATGGTTCATTGCTTTGCATTATTTTTCTTGTTCAGATTATGCCCTTTTCCTGAAGATTGATAGGACATGGGAGAGGATAATGAAAGTGTGAAAAGGGTCAAGAGTTTGTGCTATGGAGATCATCCAATATACATATATGGTGGGGTGTTTGAATGTTTAGGTCATTAATTATTATTCCTCCTACTCAACTTTGGAATTATTTTGTAATTTGGGAATGTTGTTCAAGTATGTGTAAATAAAAACTGAGCCTTGTATTCGAAGACAAATTATTTTCATTCTGTTTTTTCTTTAGAATCTATAAAATGGGAAACTCGATTTGAAATAATCTAATTTGTTGATGAAAAAAAAGTAATAGATTATATTTTTAATATAATTTATTTATTTTTAAATATTTATTCAATCCTTTAAAATAAAAATAAAGATAAATATTGATTATATATATTTGTCTCACCACCATGTATATTTTTTTATGTCAACATTAGTTTAATAAAAGAGGAAAAAAAATATTATTTTTATATAAAGATTATATATGACCTTTTTATTATTATTATAATAATAATAATAATAATAATAAGTGATAAATGTATTTTTGACTTTGTAGCTTTAAATTAATTAATTCAATCTTCTAATTCATAAAATATATTATCTTAATATATTTTATATTTAAATTCAACATTTGGTGATGGTTTTTTACCATCACAAATTCGAAATATATAATTTTTAATATTTATTTATACATAATTTTACTTTTAATAATGATTTTTTATCATCACAACATTTATAAAATGATTAAATTCACATTTATTTCATAATAAAAATATAAATTTAAAATATAGTCATCCTTATTAATTATAATTAAAGTTCTTTAAACTTAAATATTGGATAAATGAACGGGTACACTTAATACTAATGATATTTAACTTTGTATCCAAATAGTGACAATGACACACATCATCAAAACTGTAGATATTATATTTTGTATCATGCATGTCATGAACAAATGAATTATTGTAGAACTTACGTGAACACAATTGGATAATTTTTGTAACACCTTATTACAAGAGTCCATAAACTTTTAACAGTCTAAAACAAATTTATTATTTGGCATATACTTTACAATTGCAGAACATTATTCACTGCTATGACATGAATATAATTCTGCAGACAATTAATCTTTGTCACACACAATGGAGTGCTGAAGAAAGCACAAACCAACAATCATAGTTTAGGTTACATAATAAGTTCATACAAGAAAAGGAATTATCATAACATGCATTGATTCTGATGTTGGTGTTGTTGATGTTCATGCAGAGGAACATTCTGGAGGGAGGCCTTGTGGGAAACGATTGGTATCAGTGCAGTAGTTGTAGACCATGAAATTCTTCTGCACCCAACGAAGCTTGGCCTGCCCCGTGGCATCCAGTGATTGGCCAGAGGAGGAAGAACATGAAGAAGAAGAACCTGAAGAAGTCCAAACACAAGCCTGCGCATTGAAGTTTCTGTATGAGGCCGTGAATGGGGCCTGACTCCAGTCCGTTTTCACAAGCCCACCTCTTGTGGCCCAATCCTCAGCATCCCATAGGCTAGAGTATATTCTCATTGGTTGGTTCTTTGGAAATGGAACTCCTTTTGTCTCCAAATTCTTGAACTCCCTTATTGGTGTCCCATCCACAGAAAATCTGTTCCATCAAATAAAACGAAGGTTAATCATCACTTTAAATGTTAAATTTTTATATCATGTTGTAGAAACATATCATTCTTTTGATGGTGCTAGTTTTGTTGATATACTTTTTTCAATTATGTACTTAAATTTTTGAAATATTGTAAGAATATATATATTATACATGATGCTTGCAGGATTCCATTGGACAGAGTATGTGTGGAAGTCTTTGGTGGGGTCGAACCATAGATGGAACTGTTGTTCTCTATTCCCCTTTCCTTGGCTGAATACGTTGGTGTGAAGAGTGTAAGGATCACCACTCATGTTACCCAAAAATTCGAAGTCAATTTCATCATGAGTAGGTCCAAGAGAAGACAACTGCATCAGTCACAAGTAAAACCATTTATTATTTCTCAACTTTTCATGCTAAACAACTCACATACATTCACTAACACCAATTATTGTTGATTCAGTTTACATGCGCATTCTGAGTTTGATTATAACATGTTACAAAGCTTTAATCGATTTCTTTTAATAAACTTCATAAAAATCTTAAATATTTTACTGAATGAATGTTTGATTGATATGTTTATCTGCTCGCAGTTCAAAATAAAACTATGACAAGCTAAGCTAGTACGAGTAAATGACTTACATAATAGGCTGTGACAGTGCCAGCAGAATTTCCAGGCACGAGTTTAAGCTGCATGTCAATTTTTCCAAACAAGTACTCATTTTTTGAACGAAAGCCAGAGCCAGAGGCCTTATCTAGGGACAAAGTAAGAAGATTTCCATTTTCAAGGATTTTGGCACGACCACCACCCCATGTTATTTCAAAGTCTTGGTAGAAGCTACCACCTGTGACGGCCACCACAAAGGTAGCTATCACCACCACAAGAAACTCAATATTTTTCATTTCAACAAACCCTTTTGGAAGTGGTGGTGATGATGATATATGGATTTGTGAATTGGTTGGTATTTGTGCAGCAACCAGAGAGGGAAATAGATAGAAAGAGGAACACAAGAGAAGTATTTGGTGAAGACTGGTGCATGCAAATGCAAAGTTTTGAAGCTATTTATAGAGTCGTAGAGTGTTAACAAGAGGGAAATGTTAATGTAATGGAAAGGGTGATTGGATTTGAAAGTGGAAGAAGAAGTGGTTGTGAGAAAAGGAAAATAATCTAACTGCAACTGTGTTAATGTTGTTCTTTTATGTAATCTTTGATAATTTGTGATAGAATTGTTTAACTAAATTTTTGTTTATAGTAAGTTAAACAATCCTTAATGAAGTTTATAACACAGGGATGGTAATGGTTGACTTGGCAAAGTGAAGTGGGACCATGACAGCTAATGGAGGGATAATATCCAAGTAGTGTCCAATCAATTAGGGTTCTCACTTTTTAGTGAATTGTTAATATGTTATGTGTGTGTGTGGTTCTATGAGGTTATAAATATAGATTGCTTTTCAATATCCAAACATCAAATCAAATCGAATTGGCTGCTGTCTAATCTCTTGTCGTTATATATGATGATAATCTTCTTAACAGTTAATTGTTTCATGAATCAAGGTATTATTACACCCTCCATGTATGCCATATGGCTCCTATTCTAGATAAACATCATTGTTTTATAATTAGTGTGTAAGACTCTGTATGTCTTTATTTCTAATCATATCTCAAAACTCTATGCCTCTATTTTTTTTTTATGGGCTTCCTCTTTTTTCATGCAAAGTTAGGCAAAGCCAATTTCTACGTACATGGATAGAATTATGTTTATAGGTTAGGCGTTTTTCTGGTGAATTTGGTTTCATTTCCTTCTTAAATAGTTATCTAAATTAGATATAAAAACTAACGTGATTTAGATTTAATTTAATATAAAATTTAAACCAAATTAAGTTAATTTTTTATGATTTTATTTAAATTGATTTTGTCTATCTTTTAAAAATTGTAAATATTTTTGTTTAAAAAATATTAATAGACTTTTTTTAATAATTTTATAGTTCTTATTATATTTATATTTTAAAAATTTTATATTCGTAAATAAAATACCTAATCTTATAATAAAAATTAACATAATATTTACATTTTAATTATTTTCAATTTTAATGTTTTAATTAGGTTTGATAATATCTAAATTTTATATTAAGTGAATTCTACTGTTTAAGATATTATTTATTTTAAAATTCTAATTCCTTATAATTTTATTTTAAAATATCTCGTATATATATATATATATATATATATATATATATATATATATATATTATTGACCTTAAAAGCTACGTGTAACTCCTACCGAAACACAAAGTTTAAGTTAAAATTAGATTTTACATGAAACAACGTATGAAACAACGTATAAAATTAGATTTTAGAGGTGTGGAAGAAAAATCTCTGCTTCTTAATCAATTAATTAAGTACAAATAAAAGAGAAAGGACACAATCTTAAGAGAAAGTAAGTAAAAATGTAATTATTATTTTTATCTATATATAAGAAGCTTTAATTAAGATAAAATTATATGATGTTGATTGATTTGTTTGCATTGTATATTTATTTAATTTGAATACGATTAGTGATGCAGATTTAAGATGAAAACGGAAGTTAAGAGTTCGTTTTACGACTGCATTTAATTTTTTTTATTGTAATATTTGATAATATATAATTTATCACAGTTTTTGTATATTGATGTTTATGTTAAAAAGTGATTTAATTTATTATGTATTTGTGGTTATGTAATATTTGACATTAAAAGTTTAGGTCCTTAAATTATGAGTAACTACTTTGTGCCAAAGTATGGGTCTTGCACTGGTCAACTGTTGCTTTCATTTAAAGCTGGCTATGATTCGTCACCAGTCATCGGAGCGAACACTAATCTCCACTTAATGTAACGTCTGAGGCTATTTTTTTTATTATTATTATTTCTTGTGGCAACCATTTTAAGTGAAGAGAAAACAAAAAGGAAAATGCAATAAACCCATATAAATAAAATTAAGGAACAGATATATTGATATTAAGGGTAAAATTTGATATCTTAGAATTACTTTAATAATAATAATAAATAAATAAAACATTTTATCCATATCCATGTCTAATGTGAATTCACATAAACTTGAAATATTGTCGTTATTCTTAGAATTAAGTGTTTTATGTATTATGTTTGGTTTATTTTGGGCTTCACCACCATGAAGAAATGGAAAAAGTGGGGTCAGCTATTATTAAAATTGCGTGTGAAATTGTAGTTAAAGATCAGACAGACATGAATATTCAGACCACTCGGTTCTGCAAATTAATTGGATGACAATCACTCTGCACCTTTTTATATCTCTTTCATCCAACCAATAATTATTATTTATATATTACACCCTTAACATGTATCATATATACTCTGAGTTCAAAATGAGTACTTTTAAATTTCACTAATACTCAGTGACTAAAACTTAAGTAGCTGTTTTAGAAAAAGTGATGCAATGTTGTGTTTGGTGAGGGGTCATTTTAAAACTTTGGTTAGTGTTTATTATCTTTGGTGTGTTGATTAGGGTGGGTGATATATGTTTAAATATGGTGCAATAATTGTTGTAACCATCAAAGAATGCATGGATTTATATAAGGATAAGGGATTAGGCATGTGGTTAAATATGCTGTCTACAATGATTATGTAATCTAAACCAATCAATCACTTTCCTCCACCAAGATCAAGTTTTTCTTCTTTAATTGTTTTGGGTGTAGTTAATTGACCAATGCTCCCAAACATGTCAAATATGCTCCTTTCTTATGTATAAAATTGGATGTAAAAACATTAGGGTTTTGATTCTAAAGAGAGTTTGTTCTCTGATTTTATGTGCTGGCTAGCTTTATGGTGGTGAATTGGTACCCTAATTTTAAGTCAATTTAAAATAATATTTGTCAAATTTTACAATTTAAGGTGTCACTTTCTTAAGGATAATGCTTCCCCCACCAAGTGAAGCAACATCCTCTGAATTTATCATGATTCCAAGTATAAGAGGATATTATATATTTCTATTTTTATTCAAAAAGTCGTACACTCTATTCTAAACAAAAATTAAAATTGTTTTATATATATAAAGAGAAAAGGATAGAGATAGATATAGACAGTGATTCTATCATCTAAGATAACGATTTCTTTTTGTTTTTGTTTTTTTTTTCTAAAACGTTATCATCTAATACTAAAACATGTTAAAAATTATATATTGTTAGTGAAATTTATTAAAAAAAATATGATCTATATTTTTTATGAATTTTAATAATTTTAAACTAATGATAAAATTGAAAATAAAAAATTATTAATATTTTTCTATATGTACCATAAAAAAAATGAAAATCTATAATCTATAACGTGAATATAAACTGTAACTTGATATCAAAACATATATTTACATTTATATTTTAATTGATGGTTCAATTTTTTTAAAAATTTAATAGTTATTAAATATATTAAATAAAAAACATTCTATATGTTTTTACTTTTTTATATTTTTTTCATTATTTATTAAATGATATGTTATTTAGGATTGTGTTGCAAATAATAATATATAGTTATTTTAATGTTGTATGTGTCATTGTTTTAGTATTTTTATAATGGATGCATTACATTATATATTTCTAATAAATTGTATTTGTTTGTGGTGTTTGTTTTATTTTATTTTAGAAACACTTAAGATTCTCTCTTATTTAGAAACACCTTTTGGGCAAAATAAATGAAAAAGAGTTATTGGACTAAGTGGTATCTGCAAACTCAATAAGAGAAATTTCTTTATGTTTTCACCTTTTAAGAATCAATCACATTTCGGGCTATATTTTAATAGTTCATATTTTTATTACTTAGATTTGGAGTGTGTTGGTAAAGTAAGTGATTTCGACATTTTTGTTGTGTTTCTTGATAAATAATGTTCAAGACACTTCATTGTGTTGCATATTATTTATGGTAGAATATGTAATTTTTTTTTAAAAAAGTGAAATGATTCATCCTAGGTTGTTTGAATTGAAATTATATGTAAATTTCGAAAAAAAAAACTAATATATAATTTTTCTTGTATTATTTGACTCTTTCTTTAACTATCATTTGTTCATCATTCTTTTATTTAAAATACTACCAACATACTTCTAATATATGTTTGTTAAGTAATTCAAAGATTAAAAAAAAAAACAATTTTTAATAAAGATTTTTTTAACCAATTCACCTCTCTTTTTTATCATTCAACCTCTTTATTTTGATAAGTTTGTGGAATTATGAAAAAAAGAAGAAGCTAAAAATAAAAAATAAAATATTCTACTTGTTTTTATTACATTAGGGTCTCATATAAGGTGTAGATTACATCAAAATGTGCTACTTGTTTTGATCGCCATTAGGGTCTAATTAAGAGTATTCCATCATTTAATTTAATTAGTGTAGAAACAAAGAGCAGAAAGTTGTCACCATGAATATTCTACTACTTGACAATGTTATTTCATGTCCTTTTTGTACAATTACCTTTTCTTCTTGTTACAACTGGATGAGGCAATATAATAACTTTCACATTTTTTCCAGTTTAGACTAAAAGAAGTTTAAACCAGTGGTGAAGGATTCTAGAATATACAACATTGGTATAAGAAACTTATTAAATATGAATACACAAACAAAAATGAAAATTACACCAAACAAATAAATTTCGACAACTAATAAAAAAGATATTAAAAAAAAGAGTGTTCAAGAGTCCTATGTAATTAATTACCACTTGGATGTCTCTGGCCGAACGAATCTCCTTCACCTTGTTTCGATCAATTCTATGAGACACCCTTAGAATACTTCTCCTTCTTTCTGACATTTGAAGTGTGAATCTCTCTCTCTTTTTTCTCACAACAAAGTAAAAATTAAGAAATAGAAGACCACACAGAGAAAAAGAAAGAAATAATACTAGAAATTGGTTGTTGTTGTCAGTTTTTGTTGAATTTTCATTCATATTTTTGGCCTATGTCTACTGCATCGACCCTAAGCCTGAAATTGAACCACAAAAAGTTTGCTTTTCTCCCCAGACATGCCTCTCCAAGTACTCCAAGGTTTTGTTTTCTCATTTTATTTTGTTTATGCACCTTGTCACTGTGATATACAAGTGGGTCAACACATGTTTTTGTTATAGCAATTGCAAATTCATGCATATTATACTTGAGCATAATTCATTTTCATCATCAACCTAAGCTAGAATGCTTTTAGTAGCATTTACTTGGTTCAATTCGAAACCGCATTCAGTTACATGACACACTAATCAGTTTATCTAATGAAACCTTATCATATAGCTTATCTTGATAAGGGTCATTAATAAGTTTAATAAATTTGAACAAACCAAACAACTACTTGAAAAAAAATTGGTCAAACCTTTTCTTTTAACTTACATGTATCTTCTTGAGCTTTGTCAAGTCTAAACATGGATCATGAATCATGTTATCTTTTTTATAATGTTTGTGATTGATTGCAACAGAAGTTTCTCCCTCTAATAAGTCACAGTCTCCACAGCACCACTCTGGAGCATTATTTTACATCCTCGGAGGAATAGTTGTACTCGTCGTAATGTTGATCTTTTTATATCTACTTCGGAACCGAATTAAACGATCAACACAGACTATGACAGATACAATTAAAGAGCAGCAAGGTAGTTTGAGAAATGAGAAAAAAGCATAATAAGTGAAATCACAACACTAAGGTCAAAATATATTTGTACTTACAGTTTGATTAAATATTTTTGTTTGTGTTTAATTAGTGATTGAGAAACACAATGAATCAGCAGACTTGATGAAGATGATATTTTCATCTAATCAACAGTCAGGTAACTGAAAGAAAGAATCACATTGTATGGTCAATCAATATATTTTATATATTATTATTGGATCTCTCTATATATATATATATATGAAGTTTATTAATTTCATTATGTACACAGGGTCCATGGAGTTCTTTAGTGGGAACCTTAGAACAATAAGTTGCTTTGACTACCAGATATTGAAGAAAGCAACCAAGAATTTTCATGTTGATAATCTTCTTGGAAGTGGTGGATTTGGACCTGTTTACCAGGTATATTATTATCTGTAATAACACGTTGGTTTGATAGAGAATTTTATGTTAACAAGGGAGTTGAGAACTTACTTGATGGCATAAAGCATAGGTATTACTGTGTGGTTAAAAGCATAAGATGTTATTTACTATGCTGTGCCTTTTGATTATATAACACCCTATAAAGAAAGAAAAAAAAAAAAATCAGAAACAAGATAATATCATAATAAGAGAGTTGAACGTATCTTAAGTTTTAGGTTAGATGTAATGTAAGTTTAATTAAAGTTTTGTGCTGTTCTAAGGTGTTAAACAAGCCATCTACAAATGTTGAGGTTAATGTCTCCTAAGTGTAATTATGTTTTGACAGGGAAAGTTAGCAGATGGAAAAATGGTTGCGGTTAAACAATTGTCTCTCAACAAATCCCAACAGGGAGAAAAAGAATTTCTGGTAGAGGTGACAACTATCACTAGTATCCAACACAAAAATCTGGTTCGTCTTCTTGGATGCTGCATAGATGGGCCACAAAGGATACTTGTCTACGAATACATGAAAAACAGAAGTTTGGACCTCTTTATACATGGTATCCTTTCTTTTAGTATCCTCTTGGGCCCTTTCTAATTATTAACCATTATTTATGTGAAACTTTAGCTAGTAAATCTATGTCACTCTAGTGCACATAAAAGTCTTAACATAGTTCCTCCACTAACCAATGATAACACTTGTATAAAATAAGCTATTTTGCACCAGAGATTCATTACATGTTATGTACAATCTAGCAAAAGTAAAGAACTCATTCTACCTTTGTGAAAGAGAATACAGTAAGTGAAATTGATCAAATGCATCTACAAGGTTCAATCTTCAATCTTTGTTAAGAATTATAGTGAAGGTTAGAAACTAATTCTGGGAAAGGATAGTTATTTTACTTTGTTCCTTGTAATTGAGAATCTAGCTTTCTACATATTTTATTTTTGTATTTTTTCTTTTAAGTTAGTAAATATATCAGAATGTTGTTTAAAATTATGCAATTTTGCTCATCATCATTATCATCTTCCTTTTCTTTTATATATTTAATATGGTATATGGGCACAAAAGATTTAGAATATTGTTCATAGATGTGTAATTCTGTACATCTTTTTTTCTTCTTTTTCATTTAAAATGAGAGTTTTAAACAACATTTATTTGGAGAAAATCATGAATTTTGATTTTCATTTACTTTAGCCTAAGATCATTCTAGTTATTGTAGAATTATTTGTGCAGTGTAATATTCATGCAATGGACACCTAGACCATTGTTTTGATGTAACAATTGTTTCTTTTACTGTTTCAAGCAGGAAACAGTGATCAATTTCTGGATTGGAGAACTAGATTTCAAATTATTCTGGGAATAGCGCGAGGACTACAATACCTTCATGAGGATTCACACCAAAGAATTGTTCACCGTGACATCAAAGCAAGCAACATTCTTCTTGATGACAAGTTTCAGCCAAAGATTGGAGACTTTGGTCTAGCTAGATTTTTTCCTGAAGATCAAGCTTATCTTAGCACACAGTTTGCTGGAACACTGTATGCCATTTATTGAAACAAATTAAAATGATATCCTTATAGAAAGATAGTTCTTTGCATTCACCCATTGAAAATCACTACTATACAGCATTATTAGTTCATCATATGGTTCAGAGCAATTTAATCATCATTATGATTTTAGCGCTGCCAACTACCAGAAAACTACAAAAGCAGTGGTTCTGCCAAAAAGTTTTAATGTTTGCACACATTTCAACTCTATCAAATTTAGCAGCACATCATTAAAGTAGCTGTGTCTGACACTGTTTTATGTGATTGGATGAAGTATACGAGTATTAAATCCTTTGATTATACTGTATGTATAATATGATTATTTTAGTTTATGCATAATAAAATGATGATCAACGCAAGAAAATAGATGTTCCCACATTGTATTGTAATTTTGTTTGTCACTTCTTTACTGAAATGTGAAACATTTTAAGGAGTGAATTAGACATCATAAGTTCAATTTCCAAACAGTTTAACCATCTATAGTTAAGAGAATTCCATTGATAATGTCTTTTTTTTTTTTTTGAGCAGAGGTTATACTGCTCCAGAATATGCCATTAGAGGGGAATTATCAGAAAAGGCAGATATCTATAGTTTTGGAGTTCTCTTGCTTGAAATAATCTGTTGCAGGAAGAACACAGAGCACACTTTGCCATCAGAAATGCAGTACCTCCCTGAATATGTAAGCTCTCACCTTCTCCACATAATATTTTCTCTACTATAAGATAACATATTTTTTCTACCCATACACACTTTAGTTTTTCTATAACATTGAGTAAATTATACTTCATGAAATAAGTTAAACTAAGGTTCATTATATAGGCATGGAAAGTGTATGAAAATGCAAGGATATTGGACATTGTAGATCCAAGGCTGCAACAACATGGGTTCGTGGAAAAGGATGTTATGCAAGCAATCCACGTGGCTTTCTTGTGTCTTCAGCCTCATGCACATTTGAGGCCTCCAATGTCAGAGATTGTAGCATTGTTGACCTTCAAAATTGAGATGGTGACAACACCAATGAGGCCAGCCTTCCTGGACCGAAGACCAAGAAAGGACGAAGAAAAAGATTGTTCCCGAGCATTATCCCAGACTTTCACATCTCCCATATGTGATCACTGAAATTTGTACCTTAAGCCTATACCCACCAATCTGATAAAAATAAAAATATTGAATTTGTGAGATCATCAGAGAACATGATCTTAAAGAAGGAAAGGAAGGAGGAGGTTACAATATACTTCGCATTCTAGATTTACTTTTCTTTATATATATATATACAGAAAGATATTTCACCTTGTTCATTTCTCAGTTTTATAAATGACATGAGTGATGATAGAGGAGCAATTAAATAGTAAAGGTATAAACATTTTCAACCTGATATTAATTATTTCAAGGAAACTTATTCTACCATCACATAGTTTGAATTTAACAAGTAGTGTTCACATGTAAAGGAAGTTAAAGAAAAATTCTAAAACTATGAAAATTGGTAACTAATAATAAGACCCAAGTGTTTTGTAATTAGTGATAATAACTCATACCAATGTATTTGACTTGGTAAGTAGATATCCCTAGAGTCAATAACAGTGGAGATTGGAAATTTATATGACATAGTTTTATCTTAGGTAAAGTGAAAATGTGCATAAAAATGTTTTCTTTATACATTAATAAAAGAGAAAAATATGATAAATATCAAGATCTATTAGTTCAACAATTAACTTCTTATGATTTGATGCTTATATAACAAAAGGATAAAATAAATAAAATTTATTATTTAGTCAAAAATAATATTTTAATAAATCAGTTTATGTAAATAACAACAATAATATTCTTACTATTATATCAACATTTTATTTTAATATGTTGACCTTTACCTAGTTGTTAATATATATTTACAAAAAGTTTATGCACATTAATATCTATAGACTCATTAGTCTATACACCTTAATACTAAAAGAATTACCTTCTTTTACACTTTAGTCTTTACGTTTTTTTTAATGATGACATTATAATAGAAGGACCATTTATTGATGGATACATGTGTCAAAATATATTTAAAATATATATAATGATATATTAAAAAATAACAATTAATTTTATTTAATCATAATCATTGATTTATAAAAAAATACAAATTAATATTAACTAAAATAACATAATAGAAACCTGTATGAAAAATCCAACAAAGAAGCCACACTTACTGTGTTTCTATTTACCATCAAATTTGGAAAGTTTATTGTTTTTATTTAATTGTCATTTTCAAATTTTAAGAAAATATTAATTACCTTTTTTTTTTTTATCATTTAGACCTTTACCATTCACCTATCTTTAATTATTTTATATATGTGAATCTATTGTTATGTAGAAATAAAATTATAAAAATAAAAAATCTTATAAATATTTTATTAAAATAAAAAGTTATTACATTTGTTAATTTCTCCAAAACAAACCTAAATGACACTTAAAAATAAACATCAGAAATCTATTATACATTTAATTTGATATTATCTCATATTATTACTAAAAATTCTTTAATTATTTTTTAATTATTATATATATATATATATATATATATTAATGTTTAATTTATTTTCATCTTTTTAATTGGGCTGATTTCTCGGGAAAAAAACCTCCAGTCAAAGACTTAATTAATAACTATAAATTGTGGACTAACTCATAGTCAAACTTTAACTACTATTGCATTAAGAAAATGTCAAAAAATAAAATAAAAAAAAAATCAGTTCCTTAAGATACCGGTTTAAAAATTAGAAGTAGATTTTTTATTAAAAAAAAGTGTTATCAGTTAATTCACCTTATCATAATTTCGACTAATATAATACTATATCTTAAATGTTATTTCTATTAAAATCTTCTTATTATTGTTTTTTAACAAGCCCTAGAGATAAAACATCTCTTATTAATAACTTATTCAGTTACTCATTAACAATTTGACCTGTTAAACCAGCAATAACTAATGAAATTATAACATAAAAACATTCATTTTCTTCACTTAATCCAAATACGTTAACATAACTGTGATTAGAGAAATCAATCTCTCTCTCTATATATAGTAAGTTTTGGTGTTATTTTAATAATATAAACGTTAAAGAACGTGTTATTGAAGTTTGAAACAAAGTTGAACTAGAGATAAAATAACTTGTGTGAGAAAAGAAAAAAGTGTTAAAAAATACAGCATTTTAATCATATGTTAAGATTGACATGGAAGAAGATAAAGTGGGAAAGTTTAAGTTATCGTTTCCATCATTATTGTGCATGACGTATGGTGTATTATGTGTTCATACGTGATTTCAAGAATAAGACTATGAGCACTTTCTTGGAAAATGGTAGAAGACTGTGTCTTCGTGGTGTGACTTATCTAACACCATGGATTTTCCTCCAATGCCCGTTGCCCTACTGTGATTAATTTGAACCCCTCGTGTTGTGGATTGGTCCATTGACCATAAACTTAATTAAAGCATACCAAGAAAGAGACAGAGATAATCAAAATTGACGTTGTTGGTTCACATAGAAAACTTCCCAAGACAATTGACTAAGATTTAGGTTAGGATCATTGAGATATTATAATTAATAATTAATGATAATCTATCTAACATTCTTTCTTTCTTCTTTTTTAAATTCTCATTTCGGTTTCGTTATTGTTTAGTTCAACATTCATATTATTTATTATTATTATTATATGTAATTATAATCATCATGAAGAGAAGTGTGTGGTAAGTTACATTACGTGTGTAACGTTATGGATTAATCAACCCATATCCAACAAGATTTTCATAAAAAAATAATAAGAAAAAGTGATTAAGAAAATAAGTGCGTTTATATGGATGGGATTTTTTTTTTTTTCTTATCAACGTGCTTTCTTGGAGGAGGGTTCTTTTAGTTAAGAAGGCAACATTGAATTTTGCTAGTGGGTCATGAAACCAAGAGTTTCAACGTCACACCCATCTTTCACGTCATGGAAAACATATACATAATCAAACAAAAAGTGTAATTTTCTTGTTTTAAAATTCAAATAACTATAAATTAATTATTTTACTATTATTATTACTACAAAATTCATGATTCAATCGTACCTTTTTTTTCTTTAAGAAAATAATTATATTTTAAGTTCTTTCAAAATTGATGAGATTTTTATTTTAAAATAAAATATAAGAGATATTATACATATATCATATAATTGATTTCAAACATTTTCAATCATTTATGATTTAGGGTACGATATTTTTAGTCCATCTAAAATATCTAGAGTTTAATTTTAGTTACTCTATTTTTTTTTTTTAATCTCAACCTAATTCAATTATTATTTAAACAAATCTCCATTTCCTAATGAAACACAAACATAATTAAGCAAATTGATGGTCAAATGTGATGAATTTGAAGTATTTAGAATGAATAGAAAGAGAGACCAAGTTAACCCAATTATCCAGCTACAACCCTATACACTACACGCAGTCCTACACGGCTATACATATTATTCGATGTGGGGACTGGGATGTGTACTTTCTTTTCTTCTTTTCCTCGTTAATCATCAATATTTGATTCTGACATTCCAATTTGCTTTCATCAAATTATGAGTCCCTTACACCCTCTAAATGCCCTTTAACCCTACGCTGTTCTGCAATTTGTGGCTGCTGTTTCGGACCACATTGGAAATGCCTCCTTTGTTCCCTTCATTGGGCTTCAATTCTTTCTCGCATGATGAACAAATGGTCAAGGTTGTGGCCTTGGAGAGTTGAATGTACAATGGTTTTGGTCCAATCTTTTGTGCGCGCAGCTCTTGCAGTTCCTTCTTTAGCCTCAGATTCTCATCCGTGAGTTTCTCACAACATTTCTTCAGGAACTCGCAATCCACCTCTGTTTGCTTCAGCTTGGTCCTGAAAAGTCAATATAACGCACAGTTTAATGCATAGTCAAGTCAACAGGAAAAGGTTAAACAAATTGGCTCCCTTTTTTCATGGTACAGGAGAGAAGTTAAGGTTACAATGGGATAGAACCAAAATTGAACACCCTCCAGAAATTGAAACTCATTAAAGGATCATAAAAAATTATGAAACCAACCATATATGATATGCACACATCCTACCTTGCTCTTCTGTTCTGAAACCAAACTTCAACCTGCCTATGCTTTAAATTCAATTGCTCAGCAAGTGCCTGTTTCTGTGCCTGCATGTGAAACCAAAACCAACTGGTAAATAATTTTCCCTTCAAATAATCACCTCCTGTCTACAAACCCTTGAAAATTTCTAATAAGAGAACACCGATACTGATATATTGTATCATAATAACATGCAGTTTAATTAGCTTCCATGAAATTCAAAACCAACAAAGAATATTGCTAACAGAATTGTGAGATGAAAAGGAAAGAAATGAATACCGGGTTAAGAGTGCTATGAAGCTTGAAAATATCCTCAAGGGTGGCTGATTGCTCCTTTGTAAGCTTCAGTTTCTTTCTGCTGCCATTATTGCTATTGTTGCTGCTATCAGGGCTGTTGTTTTCATTGGGGTGCTTCAAACATAATACCAACCCCTTTGCCTTATCATCATCATCATGAAGTTGTTGCTTTGATTGTTGATGATCCACGTGAATGGTTTTTCCCCCCTCAGGACAAATATCAAACGTTAGGTCCAAGCAAGGGAGTTTCTGCTTCTCCTTCTTCGGCACATGGCCCCCCATTCCTAATCCAAGGCTTAGACTGGTGATGCATGGCTCATCATCTTCCATGGCAGAGAAGGAATGGAGACACGGGTGAGAGAGAAAGAGTGAAATATTGGGAAAACTATTTGGGGGGTCGTGAAAGGGGTGGTATTAACACTTTTATTATTGGGGTTTGGTCTTGGTATTAATCTTTGTTGAATCAGTTTTTGTTAGTAACACTTTGTTTTGAGAATAAAGAAATAAAAAATGGTGCATGGAGAGTAATTTTGGCACTACTAAGAAGGAGGAGTTGTGCATTAAAAGCAATAATAAAATGGGGCAAAGGGAGTTAAAGCATGCGTTAGAATTCTGACTCCTTTGAGGAAACCAAAACTTTCTTAATGACATGAAATGTTTGACTTTTCCATTTTTTAATTCCTACTCTGTTTGAGTCAGTCACCAGGTCGTATCTTTCCCAACACTTTCCTATGATAGTTCTCTGTCTAGTCAGATTCTCCATTTTCTAATTATCTTCTTCTAATCTTAACTTTATTAAGCTTTCATGAATATTAAAGTAGAGGTTACTCAAAAAATATTATACTTTTTTAATATTATTTTAGTCTTATTTATTTTTTAAAATAAATATTATTAAATTATTTAAAATACTGTGACATTACGATGATTTTAATATTATTTAAGAATTAAGATTAATTATAATTTATATATTATTTTTGTTCAAATTAATACATTTTTTAAAATAAAATCATAACAATAAAACGAACGATGATATTATATATAAAACTAAAATATTCTCATTCTTAAATTTTTAAACGTATAAATATGAGTATATAATTTGGTTATTTTTAAATAATCAAATTGATAATAAAATTAATAGAAAAAGGGTAGAAAAATTATTTTAAAGAAAGTATTTTTAAATATATTAAAATTTCGGTTCCTGTAGTTATAGAATGAGCAAAGACTTTGAAACAAATTATAATAATTAGACATCATTACTCTTTATATGACTTTACCAAAACTTGTTACGAAAAGTTAAACTGAAAGTAATAAAGAACAGCGTTACTATTATTTATACCTACACCAAAAATTATTAGTTTTCAAAAAAATAAATATATATTTTCATTTCAAGTAATTAAGAATAAGTCAAAATATATGTAAAATTAAATAAACGAAGAGTTAATCTTTGATAATTATTGTTTATTAATAAAACCCCAAACAGATCAAATAGATAAGAAAAATAAAACTATTACCTTTCTATTTAAGACTTAAATTAATTATATTCTTATTTCTTTAATTCAATAATTTAATTATAATAGACCATGTAATATTTTTCTCTTATCATTAACATTAATTAGTATATATGATGAGATTATTAATTTTTGTAATAATTATTTTAATCATTAAAAGTATATTCACAGTAATTTTTATTTGGTTGAAATTGAACCAAATTTAAATAATAAGTTATTAAAGTTAAACTCTTAATTTCAATTATATATTAGCTTAGACTGCATACAGTTTTAGCATTTTTTTATTTACCTTTTATCTCTTAAATTTAACTTTTTTTCAGCTTTGACATCTTAAAATATTTTTATTTCTTATTAAAATTATTTCTTTATTAGTGTTTTTGCATTATTACATTGTTAATTTTGTTGATATGAAAAATGATTATTTTATACAGTATCTTTTGTAATTAGGCACATATGTTACCATTTTAATCATGTTAATATAATAAACTAACAAAACAAAGTCTATTTTTGAGAAATTAAAATTAATTTTTTAAGCTTAGGAAACTAAAAATAAAAAGAGAAAATAAATGCGTTTTGGTATTTTGAAAAGTATTAGGAAATTAAAAACATTAAAATTAGGAAAATAGATCATTGACCAAATGAAATTCACAAAGAGTTTATGAATTTCGGGTGATATTGTATAATATGTTACAAACAATTTTTCTATTTTTTTTTTACCTAATTTTCTTATTTATAAGTGTGGTGTGAATTTTTTTTATTGAGAAATGAAGAAATGCAATAATATTTTTTACTTTAATAAAATATTTATGAAATCATCAATTTCATATAACTTCTTATATTTAATAGCCTCGTTTTGAAATAATCTTATATTTAAAACTCATCATGGATTATTAAATACTTAAATATAGAAAGAAGCATTCTAAAAGTTTTAAAGTAAAAAAAAATTAACAATAAAACAATATTTATTTATTTTAAGTAAAAATCTCAATTCACTCAAACAAACCCTAAAATCTAAAACGACAGAGTGAAGAAGAAAAAAAGGAGTGAAAAAAATCCAGAGTGGTCCCAATTTCAATGATAAAACTCCCCCACACCACATTTGATGGGGATAGTTCATCTGTGTAATTTGATGGAAAATGGGGGGTATTTTAGTGAAATGCAATAAATTGACATTAATTTTGAGTTATTGGAGTAGAAACTGATTAGTTGACATAATAACCCTAACAATTAATATGATATTGTACTTAAGATGAAAATTTATGTTAATTCAGACTTTACGGAGTCAATTATTTATCCCCTCTTATGTCTCTCTTATTGGTTTCTCAATTTCATTCAAAAACACTGATTATGATTATTTTTTCTAAGGGAAGCATATAATTTTTTTATTTTATTTTTTTTATCTAGTATATATCTTTTACCTAAATATTTAAACAATCGTATTTTATTTTTCAAATTTGTTAAAACAAGTAATTTTATGTATCTAATTAATAATTACTTTTAAAAAAATATGCACATCAAAGGATAAATGATATGATACAAATGAAGTGATTATTTTTTATGAATTGTAAATTAGGTTGGACCACACTGAGATTAGGGTTTGCCAGTGAATTGATGAATAATAATGAACAAATACGGGTAAAGAGTGATGATAGGATTACCCAGGGCAAAGGCAAACTAAGTGGAAGATATCTACTTATTTATTTATTTGTTTTATTAACTTTAAAGAAATATCATTTTTTTAAATATTTTGTATATGTTTAAGTTTTAATTAAGATGGTAATTAAGAAAATTTTACTAATTGGTCTGCTTGTGCTCTTCTTAATGACAATCCACTAATTATAAAAATGTTGTTTTCAATTTGAGTAGTATGTTTTGAATTGAAATTTGTAAGAAAAATAAAATTACTTTTATAATCTGGAAGTTTTTAATTTATGATTATTTTTGTTAATTGTTTCTCCTTTCAAATTTATACTTTTTTTTTCAATTAAAAAATATGAATGATTATAACCTCTAAACAAAATTAATTTTCTTGAAATTACTCTCAACAAAATCTTATATAAATAAAAGGTTATTCTTACAACAATAATTAATTTTACGTATAATTGAGTGTCAAGTAATTTAACTTTTTATTATTTAAGTAAACCAATTTAAAAAAAAATCTGAAAACTTGATGAGATTGTAAAAATTTACTTTTAATTATAATATTTTCTATTCTTATCTAATTCTTACATGTTTCTTAATAATGAGAGATAAATAATAACAAAAAAATCATATTGAGAATTTTAAAAAATATTCTTTACATAAAAAGAAATAAATATAATTTTCTAATACAAGTAATTTCAAAATTGTTCACTTTTTTTTTATCCACAAATATATATACAATGAGAAGTCAATTTTTGATTTTTTTTTCTTGAGAGGAACGTTTGAAAAGAAAATGAACAAACGATTAACACAAATTCAGAGATAATATTGAAAGTTTAAAACATCTTTGAGTCTTTGGTTTTTTTTATGTTGATGTATTTAAGAAATGTGTGTATGAAACCCTATTATTAGGTTATTTTCATTATTTTGGTTCAAACTTTCTCATGCATTTATAATCACAATATTTTCCCAAAACAAAATCTCTAATTGGAATAAATGGTAACAAATGATGCTCTCATTGGTCAGAAGAAGAGAATAAAAATCAATATGAAAATGATAATCATAATCATACATGTATATTTACACATTTTATCTTCATAGACTTTTTGTGTAAATTAGTCAATGCATATTAGCATAAATAGTCAAGGATCACGAGTTTAGGTTTCAATATCATACCAAAATCCCTCATGGATATTTTCTCTAGAGAAATTTATAACATTCACGATTTAATTAATTGATTGAAAATAATTATGATTAAGTCTTAGTTTTAGTTTAATATTTTTAATATATTAAATAAGTTCAAACTGCTGAAAAATTAAAGTTTTACTAATCATTATTTTAAATTTTAACATGTTTATTTTTTTAATAACAATTTAAAACTACCATTAATTAAGTTCACTTTTATTATTTATTTTGTTTTCATATTTAGTTTAATTTACATGTATTTTCATTAAAAAAAATGTACAATATATACTTGTAAAAAAATTATATATTATCAATTAATTAGAATTAGTTTGTCTTTGATTAGATATTGTTTTCTTCTTCTTTCTTCAGTATAATTGGACCCTCACATTTTGTGATAATATTTATGATCCATGGGAAAAGGTGTGTATGTGACCACAGGGTTGTTCTTGATTTCACAAAATCCTCCAACTTAGATGGGTCATCCTTGACCAACAGTTTCAGAATTAAACATATTATTTGCAAAGACCCAATGAATAACTTTAGTCTTAACTAAATCCTTTTCTCTTAAGAGAATCATAATAGAGTTGAGTTTAGAAATAACAAAATATTCATTTCATATGATGCTCTATGAAGTAATAGATTAACTTTATAAATTTATACACTTTTTAAGCAGATTCAAAATACAACATAAAACATTAAATGCACCAGTAATTAATACTACTGCTACCTTTGATTATCTCAACTCAATTACACATTTTCCCCAAGTTTGAAATATGAATAGAAAGTAGTCTGTGTAAATAGATAGTTTAAATAAATTGATCTTTTTATTAGATAAAATAATTTTTAATAAATTTTTAGTTAGTGACATACAACTTGGGACAAAAGGGATAGAAGTAAAATACAAGGTGCAAATGGAGCAAGTGGCAATGAAGCATTCCAGTGATAATTGAAAAACTATCCATCACATATATAAATGAAAACTTTAGCTGTGCCAAAATGTAATGTCACTGTGCCTTCATATGCAAAGATTTTTGAAGTCAAAGCATACCATTGCAGCTACGAGACACTGCTTTCCCTAATTAACAACCTGATTCACAGATCATCACGATGTTCTTCCTTAATTCCTAGAAGTTTATGCAGATGTCTACTCTCGTAATAGGCAGCGGTATCTGAAAATTGAACAATAAACAATGAGATTTTGAGGGAATATTTGAGGTACTTTCTAGGAGAATTTTATTTTGCGTGAACATGGAAATGGCTATTTTTTGTCCTTAATAAGAAAAGCTCACCATCTGACCCTCCAAGGTGTTGTCCATTAACAAAAACTTGTGGCACAGTACGCTTTCCAACAATATTAATCAAGATTTCCTGAATCTGTGAACCATCCTCTGCAAGAAAGAAGTCTCAGTAACAGAATTGAGCCAATGAATCCTTAACATAGTCACATAGAAATAGCATTTTATCAAAAGAAGTTTCAATGTAAACTTTTCTTCAGCTTTCTCTCCCTCTCTACACTATGAAGTTCGTGAAAGAAGGTAACTGTCTTCGTCACAATTTATACTGATTTAATTTTTAATCCCACAGAGCTTTCAGGCCAATAGCTGGGATGCTAACCCAGCCCTGGTTTTCAAGGATGCAATTATAGAGCTGTCATTTGATTCTTTTCAACAGAACTAGAATCATACCGATTCTTGTAAAATTACTAATATATATTCAAAAGACAAAAAGTAAGTTGAATTTTTCAGAATACCTCTCTCATCAAGCTCAACAACATGTGGAATCTGGTTCAACTCTTTGAAAAGAGCTTTTGCTCTTCTACAGTACCTAAACAATTCCAAAGAAATCAAGAAAAAAAAGCAGTCAACGAATACCCCAAACTTCATTTAATGGGCATTTTATTTTCTGTTTCGGTGGTGGAGCAACAAAGTTCTGTGCAAAGTCAATAAACAGTGATAGTAATCCACAAAGGTTATGAGTATACACATTGTACATGGCTCAGCTTAAAACATAAGAGGAACGCAGACGTAAAAAGAACTTTGAGCTATTAAGCACATACACTCTTCCTACTTGAGGTCTGAGAGTGTTGAGCAGATTGTCAATCCCAACACTCATGCAGTACGTGTTGAAAAGGTTTTACTAGGTGCTATATTAAAAAATTAGTAGGATACTTGAGTTAAGGCCTCCACACTCAAGAATACTAGTTCTATATAAAAAAAAAACAATATTTTAAAACATTGAAAAGATAATCTTAAAATATAATTTAAAATATTAAAAAGTAAAGTCTGTTAGTACATCCGGTAAGGCTCAGTATCATATTAAAAATATAAATATTGATTATCAATTTTGATCTTTTATTATCTTATTATATTTAATTTTATTTGAGTTTCTCTTTCTCTCTCCAATACAGAGAATCCTAAACTCACTTAATATGCTAGCTTAAGAGTTAGGATCAAATATATATTCTAAGACTAACAGTAAATTGTTGAATACTCGCTCGAAATGTCCAGTATTCACGTGAGAGAAGGGTGGTGGGAGATATCAAAATATCTGGTGATATAACCAAAATAGTATTTATAAGGAGGAAATAACTCTAATTCTATGAGCTAACTTTTTATTTTGAATTAGACTAGATATATAACTCACACACCCAAAATAACCATAGTGTGTTTTGATATAAAAGAATATACTAATATTATCAGTTTAAATCTTTTGTCATGTTACTTATATTTAATTTCATTTGGGTTTCTCTCTTGCTCACACACATGGTGTTCTGATTTCTGTGTTAGAGTTTAACTTCATATATTTTTAGTTTTTATTTACCGAGTGTTTGTTTGTTTGCTCGTTGAATTTGAGCGTGTGGTAGCATTTTCATGTCAATGAGGTGCAAAAATACAGAAGCTATTATTTGTGGCATTTCCCTATGAGCTGATCCCGTATAAGAAATTGTAAAACCAAACGTGCAAACACTGATCACTGATCAGAGAACACATAACAGTCATCAGGTAATGGGCCAAAAAACCCTGACGATTACCTCATTATTGTATTTGGATCACAAAATGAACCTGATATAATAGTATTTCACTTTATATTTTTATTTTCTTTTATTTATAAATGTTTGAAGATTATCCAATTATCATGCCTGTGCAGTCCTGTTGAAAACACAAGCAATTCAAACACAATATACGGTCCCAATTTAACATACATCCAAACACGGAAGAAAGTGTAGCTTGCAAGAGGCCAGAAACATTTTCGCATAATGAGTGCCTAAGAAAAACATTGCAGACCACAGTTCACAAATAAAGCACCAGAAAGCGGCTCATTTTCAAATCACACAAGCGAACAAAGTCAGATCAGTTCAGATCTCGAAATTCCTTCGTCTCCATATAAAAGAATTCAAATAGAAAATCCATTATCACAAATCCAGCACATTCAACAATTCCCACAAAATCAGATCCAACACCACCACCCAGAAGAAAAGATTTGGAATTCAAAACCCCAATCAACTTGAATTATCATAATCCAAAACGGAATCAAATCAAGCATCAAACAAGAATAAATCGAGAAAGAGGATGTGTAATACGCACGGGCAATAGGTCTTGGAGAAAATGACGATCTTGTGGGAGTTGATGGTTTCGTCAACGAATTTACCCACAGATGAAGCTGAAACTGAAGCTGAAGATTGGAGAAAGGTTGGTGCCAAAGCTATCAGCACCAACGCTGTTACCGTAAGTCTCGCATATGATGCAGCCATGGTTAAGTTAGAGCAAGTTCTAGAGAAGAAAACAATACTTCAGTCTCTTCTCAACGTTTTTGGTTTTGTTATGACAACGAGGAATTCTCACCGTTGATTACACACATTAGCAGCAACTGTGGACCGTACGATGTACGCCGTTGGTTTCTTTTGCGTTGGGTTTATAATTTTAGTATGATTGATTTTAATAAATAATGTTAGAAAAAATCATTTGAAAAAAAAAGTGAAAACTTAATTTGTATTTAGATCAGTATTCTAAAATAAAATTTAAAATTTTTATTTTCCTATGTACGATAAGTTGTTTTTGAGATATAAATGTGATTAATTTTGCGAGTATAGGTGTTATATAGTTTAAACTCAACTTTTTTTCTTTCTATAAAAGACATTTTTTTTAATTTATAATTTTTTATTACACAATTAACTAGAAATATATTGAGAATAACTTAAAGAATGGACCAATCGTTCTTAAGTACATATTTTATAATTTCAAACTTATTTTAAAATTAATTATGCATGTCTCTTCATAATATTAAATATTTTCTCTTATATAGTATGCTTGATAGGAGAAAAAAAGAGATAAAGGATGAGTTCATGATAAAAAAAAGTAATACATATGAAATAAGGTAAACATTAAGATTATGGAAGGAAAATAGAAAAGCTTATGTGTTTAAAAATATTATTTTTGTTATAAAATTAATTAATATTATTTTATTTATTAATTATTTATTCATATTATTAATAATAATTTTTTTATTTATATGTGTTAAATATATTTTTTGATTTATGTATTTCTCATCAAACTTCATTTTAGTTTCTACATATTTAAAATTATTAATTAATTTTCAAAATTTTAGAAGTATATAAATTTAGTCTTTAATTTATTTTGTGACAATATCAAGATATTAGTAAATATTAAATTTATGAAAAAAAGAACTAAAATCACATTTAATTTTTTTATCAACTATATTAACATAAATAAAAACCAGATGTAAATCTTACATCTTCAAAACCAATTCCATCAAATGTAAAAACACACGACTCGAATGGAATTCAATTCTTGTTTGCTTTTTTCATTTTTATATCAGTATTTTATCTAGCAGTACTCTGAGGATTGTTGTGTTGAAAGGCTGAATCTGTGTGCAATAATTGAAACTTTAACAATATTTTTTGAAAAGAAAGAACATACCACTACTAGTAGAGGTGTTCAGGATCAACAATAACTCAACACCATATTCAATTGCTTCCTACAAACTTCAAAGTAACCTTGTCTAGTGGTCTACCAAGCATTCCTATGTCACTTGCACACCACACAAAACCAAAGCATAATCTCATTGCTATGATACATCCACTAAGGCAAGTATCAATTCAGGTACTTTGTTGTCATCAGCACCCTTTCTATACATCAGATAAGCAACTATGGTGATGCTAAAATTCTAAGATTCTGTTCAAAGGGCAACAGCTACAATGAAATTGAACAGATTACCTGAATTACTTAGGTATTTCATATCACGAATTTAATACAGAAAAACTGATGATTTCCTTAATAATACACCTTAGCTATGAAAAACTAATGGCCTCAACTTCAAATCAATACAATTATGTATACACCTTCTACAGGGAATTATAAGTTTTAGACCCTCTTTGTTTGTTAGAAAATCAGTTTTCACACTTCCAAGTAAAATGCATTTGTTCCAATGTATTCAAAATCAATTCTACCAAATTCTAGATCAAGCAGGTACTTAACCATCTGTCAGCAAGTTAGTTCTTTTAGTAGCAAATTTCCCCTTGCAAATATGATGTACATGACGTAGAGATTGGTGCCACAAACGATTTTTGAAACCTCAAACAAGTAATCCAAACATCACTTGGATGACAATGACCTTCTAAATCATAAACAAAGGAATGTTCCAAGATGGGAAACTCTGAAAAGGAAAAGATTGTGAATGTTTTCATATCTCAAAATCAAGACAAAAAAAATGCAAATACACCCCAGCCCCACAAAATCTGGCTTTTTATGTAGCTGATGATGATCTTGTTTACCAATATTCACAAGGAATATGAAAACAACAATTTGACAAAATCAGCATCCTGAGCTTCATATAAGCTCCTAATATCAATCGATGCTATCTGCAATAGAAGTAATTAAATCCAATCTTCTGCCAAGGTCCCAACTAGTCGCCAAAACGCAATCTTGTTTTGAATTGGAAGAGAATCTATCAGTTAGGCATCTATAAAAGATGTATCAATCAAAGATCGGTGAATGATAAAGAAGCATATGCATTTCAGGTTGTTACATCCATGAACTGAAATTCTACCCTTGTATGAAAGGCAAAAGATGACTTAAGACCCCATTAAAAGGAATACAAAAGTAGCGGAAAGAAAAAGAAGCAGGTGATGATATGAAATTTCCATTACAAAGATCACTTCCAGACCAGTTGATGTGGCAGCAACTATCACGTTAGTGCAAAAAACAGCAAACAAACCCTCAAATCGTGCTTCTATCAGTTATTCTAGCCATATAATTATGAAGAAATTCATTCTATCCTTATGCAGCAAAGGAAGGCAAAAAGATACTTCATAGTAGGATAATTGACACTAAAAAAAAAACAATTTCAAGCATAGCAAGTAGCAGTATATCATTTAGAGCAATTACATATTACAATCTGAACACTCATCATTTGTCAGGGAAAAATAGAAAGAAACACAAGAAGAAAAGAATACAGAGCACAACGGGGAATATCTGTACATGAGGAAGCTATTTGAACCTATGAGACATGTCTAGCTGGTAGAGCTACACGGCGGGTATGTTAGAGAAAGAGAACCCTTTGTATCCCTTGTAAGCATAATACGCAATCCGCGTGTAGTAGGAACCGGGTATGAACAAGATTACTCCAAGTATTGCAAAGAAGACCCCTATCAACCATTCAAACAAAACCCAAAATCAACAAAAATTAATAACTGAAAAAATAAAAAACCAAAACTTCTACTTTTTCTAAATACCAGATACTGCCAAAAAGTTTAACACTTAAGCAGAAATCTTTAATCCCCCAGCTCCCCTGTTGCAATTAGTACTCTCTAATCTCAAAATTGACATTTTTTTTTTCTTTAAATGGATTATAAAAAAAAAAAAAAAAACCCTTCTTTTTTGTTACCGTGAGCAGTGTCGCCGCCGACATGGTTGTAGGCCATGAGGGCACCGATGATGATGCCAAGGACGCCGCAGACGAGAAGAGAGACGGCAAGGGCGATCTCCTTGATGGGGGGTTTGTTGTTGACGGTGTAGGAGGTTCCCATCATGATATCCTCGTCCGAAATCGAGAAGGCGTGATCCACGTACATTGTTACAGTCTCTGCTGTTACTTCCTTGAGGTGGAGGAGGTTGTTTGGATCGTGAAAGTAAGAAGAAGAGGGTTGAGGCGGTGGTGGAACAGTGAAAGATTCAGGCTTTGCTTGCACTTGAATTGTAGAGTAAAAGAGTTGTTGGGTGGGGTTGAAAGGAGATTGTAGAATTGACTATGGATTGGTTAGAAAGGTCATTCATTTGGTTGCGTTGGGACTCATCTAAGCTCTAAACAAACCAACAGTACAAGGTTTCTTCTAATTGTTTATCTTTTTTTTTTTTTAATTTAATTTTAATTATGTTTATCTTTTCACCTCCACCAGATTTAATCAGTAAAAAAATATTAATTAAATTTATTTAATATTTTTATTTCATTAAATAAAAATAAGTAAATAATTATCTATGTCCAATATATTTAAAAATATTATAAATAAATTATTATTAACAAAAATCCTTATATAATTAAATTATATAAAGAGTAAACTCTTTCAACTAAAATATCTTATATTTTATCTTGTTAATAATTACTTACAAAAACCTTGAAAAAAATTACTTTGTAATACCATAAATATTAACCTTTTAGTTCATATTTTTCTAAGTTATTTTATTTTATATTCTTATTTTTCACTTAATCAATTCAGTTTTGGATATGGGATATGAAATATTATTCTATTTTTAATTAGAATTACAATAAAAAATCATTTATATAATTTTTTTCATCAAATAAAAAATAAAATCTTAATTTCTTATTTTTTCCTTGAAACAATTTTATTAATAAAATCATGTATTAGTTAATAAATCTCATATCGATTAAAAATATAATAATATCATACATAAATAAATATCATTTTTCTATTATAAGTTTTCTAGTATTTAGGTTAGATTCATTCCAACCTAAATTACCATCTCATATTCACATTGAAATATCAAATTTCTTGACTGACTAATCATGTTATAGACCAATTAAAAAGAAAAAAAAAGTATTATTATAATTAAAACACCTGCGAAATAAGCTGTTTTAAATTTAGTTTGACTATTTATATATGCATTAAAGTCCTATATATACTACCTTTAAATAATATATTTATTATTATTATTATTATTATTATTATTAAAACTATGTTATTGAGGTGGGAAAACTACACCTTAGTTTGATTCCAACTTATTTCGTGGAAGGTACACGCAAGCAACTTGTTCATCTACTTTCACTGGACCTTCCTTTTTGACAAACCAAACTAACTTTTCATTCTAAATTCTACAGCCATGGCTCGAGCTTAAAACTTTAAAGTGCAAAAATTATTGCATGTGTTGGATGCCAATTGGCATAATCGTATTGCGTAGATAAATTTCTAGGAAACTGTTTTGGTCTACTACTGCAACACGTCACTGCCAAAGTCAACCTCCTTGTGGTTGGTTGGTTACTTTGGTTCTTCCCTTTGTTCAATAATAGCAGTAGCAGTGTCAAATTTGAGAACTAGCAAAAGGGTTGTGATTAATCAGGAAAAGCATTTGCTTGGGGAAAGAATAACAACAACTTTGTTTATGGCTCAGGCTATCGTGAACTTCGTAGTGCAAAGTCTTGGTCAGTTGCTCCTGGAAGAAGCAGTGTTCTTATATGGGGTGAGAGTAAAAGTGTTGCAGCTGCAAACTGAACTAAGGATGATGCGGTCTTACTTGCAAGATGCAGATAGAAGGCAAGATGAAAGTGAAAGCCTAAGGAGTTGGATTTCAGAAATCAGAGAAGCTGTTTATGATTCTGATGACGTCATTGAGTCATATGTCCTCAAAGAGGCCTCTAGAAGTACTTTGCCAGGTGTGTCAAACCTCATCAAAAGGTATGCTTCAATCATCAGCCGGTTAATAGAAATTCACATGGTGGGATCTAATGTTGATGATCTCATTGCTAAGATTTCTAGCCTGACAATGAGTCTTGAAAACTATGGCATAAAACATGAGAAAGGAGAGGCATCAAATTCTATCCATGGGAGACAGACTTTGAGGAGGTCTTATTCACATGTTATTGAAGAGGACATAATTGGTATTGACGATGATGTCAAGATTTTGGAGTCATGTTTGGTCAACCCCAACAAAAGGTATAGAGTAGTGGCCATTTGTGGAATGGGGGGATTGGGGAAGACAACATTGGCAAAGAAGGTGTACCATAGTCTTGATGTGAGGAACAATTTTGAGAGCTTGGCTTGGGCTTACATATCACAGCACTGCCAAGCAAGGGATGTGTGGAAAGGAATTTTGTTTAGGTTGATCTCTCCTTCCCAAGAACAAAGACAGGAAATTGACAATTTGAGAGATGAGGAGCTTGCAAGGATGCTTTACGAAGTTCAAGTGGAGAAGAGTTGCTTAGTAGTCCTTGATGATATTTGGAATGTAGACACATGGAACAAACTGAAGCCTGCGTTCCCTATTGGAAGATCACTGTCAACAGTTGGTAGCAAAATATTGCTTACTTCTCGAAACATTGATGTTGCATTGCAGATGGATCCTAGTTGTTATCTTCACACTCCAAAATGTTTGGATGAAGTTGATAGCTGGGAATTGTTCCGAAAGAAGGCATTTCCACAAAGTGATGATCCAGGTATCTAGATTTCTGTTATCCTCTTCCTATACTGCACTCTTATGTCTCAACTTTATTCACAATGCAGTTGTTTATCACATTGATGAACTTGCTAGTCTAAATCTTTTAAAGAACTTGACATTCTTTCTCGTGATTGATGAAGAATGCAGAGTGGAAATTTAATTCTATCAATGGTGTTGGTTCATGAAAGAGACCAAACAAAAGATACGAAAAGAGAATCGAGATTCCTATTCTTGTACATAATTTCATCCTCTCAACAAGGAAAAAAAATATTTGTCCAACCCTGTTTATGACCTCTAGAAATTTTCTCTACATGTTTCAGAAAGGAGGAAATCAGAACTTGAAATTCATAAAACAAAATTTGACAAGTCATCACTGCTTTTTAGAATATGTTTAACTTTCCCTCATATAAAATTCAGAATTTCAATTGTTTTCTTACTGTATGTGCCTTGACTTTTATGTGTTCTTCATTTCCCCTAAATGAATATAGATTGCTTCAGTTTTCTTGTCTTGCTACAAGTTCAACAAACTTCTATGCTCTTTTTTTCCTCACCGAAAGTTTAACCATCTCACATACTTTACATGAGAATGACTATGGTACTTGCCCATTGCAATTATTTTTGTGACCTTTGATTGATTATCTACATGGCAATGAAACCACACCTTGAAGTGGTTTAAGAATTCCTCCAAGTTGTAATTACTCAATTCAGGTTACAATTCTCTTTTCTTTTTTTCACAGACTACAGAGAGAAGGTGAATTTGGGTAGGGAAATGGTTGGAAGATGTGGAGGGTTACCATTGGCCATCATTGTTCTTGGAGGACTGTTAGCATCAAAGGCTACATTCTATGAATGGGACACTGTGCACCAGAACATCAACTCATATTTGAGTAGAGCAAACGGCCAAGAACAACGATTAGGAGAGGTGTTGGCTTTGAGCTATAACGAATTACCATACCAATTGAAGCCATGCTTCCTACACTTGGCTCATTTCCCTGAAAATGTAGAGATACCAACAAAGAAATTAATAAGAATATGGGTGGCAGAGGGTATTATATCTTTGGTTCACAATGAAGGAGAAGGCGAGGAAGCTCTTGAGGATGTGGCACAGCGTCACTTGACTGAGCTAGTGGCGAGGTGCATGATTCAGGTAGTTGAAAAGAGTTCAACTGGAAGAATTAGAACTTGCCAAATGCACAACCTCATGAGGAGACTTTGTGTTGAGAAGGCATATGAAGAAAACTTTCTTTTGGAGATCAATTCCTGGAATGTAGATGAACTTAGAGGGACATCAAGAGCAAGGCCAGTTGGAAAAGTTCGCAGGATTGCCTTGTGCTTGGATCAAGATGTTGATATGTTCTTCCCTTCACACTTGAAAAGCCACCACCATTTAAGGTCTCTCCTTTGCTTCCATGAAAAGACAGCTAGGCTAGCTGAATGGGGGTTGATGAAGTCATTTTTCAACAAATGTAGGTTACTCAGAGTCTTAAACTTGGAAGGAATACAGGGTCAGGGAGGAAAGTTGCCAAAAGAAATTGGCTTCTTGATCCACCTAAGGTTTCTCAGTCTTAGAAATACAAAAATTGACGTGTTGCCCCCATCAATAGCCAATTTAAAGTGCTTGATGACCCTGGATCTTCTAACGGGGAATTCAACTGTTCAAATACCAAATGTCATAGGGAACATGCACAAAATGAGACATTTATATCTACCAGAGTCTTGTGGTGGTAGCATTGAAAGGTGGCAACTGGGCAACCTGAAAAACTTGCAGACCTTGATTAACTTTCCTGCAGAAAAGTGTGATGTAGGAGATCTCATGAAATTAACCAATTTGAGAAAATTGGAGATAGATGATCCTAAATTTGGACATATCTTTCGGTCTCATAATCTGCAATTTAGCCACCTAAAGTCGTTGTTTTTTGTTAGTTATGAGGATATATCAATTGTTCATGTTGCATTAGGATGTCCCAATCTTTACAAACTGCACATAGATGGGCCTATAAAGAATTTTCCTGAACCCCATCAACTTTCTTCCAAGCTTGTGAAGCTAAAGTTGATGGGTTCTGGACTTCTTGTAGATCCAATGCCAACACTAGAGAAGCTTCCCAATTTAAGTTTGCTTGAGCTACAACTTGATTCATTCATAGGCAAGCAACTACATTGTTCCCAAAACGGCTTCCCTCAGCTCAAGTCACTGGTTATCCATGAAATGTCAAATCTTGAAGAGTGGAAGTTGGATAAAGGAGCCATGCCTAGTCTTATCAAACTAAAGATTGAAAATTGCACTAAGCTTGAGAAGGTTCCTGAGGGGCTCAGATTTTTGACCACTCTTCAGGATTTGGAGATCAGATCAATGTTTGCAGCTTTCAGAACCAAACTTGAAAAAGGAGGAGAGGATCATTACAAAGTCCAACATGTGCCAACTGTGGTTTTTTGTTATTGTGACTATTAGGTTGGCATTGCAATTTCTATTAGTCCATGATAGTGTGTGAATTAATTACTTCATTCGTATACCATTAGTTTTGTCAATCGTTTCTTTATAATCTTCATTTAAACATAGAACTGTAAGAACAAATAAAGGCCACATAATGGCCAGAGTATCGTACTGATTTTAGTTTTTAGTAAACCAGAGGTATAATTTTATGAACCGACATAATATGAGGTATATCCAATAAACTCGAATTCTTCAGGACTATTAAGTTCTTATATTGACATCAGTATTCACATGTGGCAAGACTGCAAGAACCCATTCTTCTTCAACTTCCAACATCATGATATGGCAAGACAGCAGGAACCCATTTTCCTTTTAGTCAAAACCATAACGAACAATAAAAAAAATGCAGTGCGTTTAGATCAAAGTCATAAACCGGATTTCATATTTAATTTTTTATTTCATAATTTTTCTTTTTCAAATATTTGAAATTTGAAACGTTTATTTATTTCTTTTGTAATGTTGATCCTCTTGCATTTCCCATATTAATATGGAAATCTTAGATGTCGTAAATAGGAATAGTCTAAACATGCACCAGCAACATATCAGTTTCATCCGCTTTAAAGTCAATAAAGATCGAAGTTGGCAACATACCATCACCAGAATGATCGGTGCGCATGCAAGCAACATATCAGTTACACATGACCAGAAGAGAGAGATTGAGCTTCGGTTATCTCTTCTTCTAGAACACTGTGAAGGAAGCCCTAAATGCAATGTACAAACCCTAATATTTTGTTCTCAGACTTTGAGAAACAAGGTAAGAAGGGAGTTTGAGGAACTACCCTCCACAGCTTTTGGGCCGTTGCGTGACTCATTGAATACCTTGCTGAAAAAGTTCCACAAGGGTCCTCCAAAAGTCAGAAAACCGATTAGCATTGATGTGGCTGCCTTGGCAGTACATGTTCCTGCAGAAGACTGGGGGGACGGTGGTACGGTGAAATGGCTTAGCAATGAGATGGATTTTTGTCCAGGATATATACCCGGGGTTCTTGGAGATGCTTACAGTTCTACCAGAGGAAGTATTGAATAATAAGATAGCAGCTCGCCCAGAAAGGCGACAGAAATTTGAAAAAGAGGTTACATCTCAAATGGAAGTTGCTCTTAATATATTGATAGCATGGGGTTCCAGGATCTGTTCTAAGTTCCCATCCGCTAGTGCTCACTGCATTGTCAAGCTTGAATTCTGAGTTAGTTTCAGAGGCAGCTGGAAATGTGATTTCCGAGTTAATACACTACACTGCATTGCCTCTTTGACTTTTAACTCTTGGCATAGTCTTCAGCTACACTTGACCAAAAGGGAGTCCTATATATTTCATATGGTAATGAAGGTTGCGTTGAAGCTGAGAGAAATTGAAGGCTGCAGGTTTTCCGTCCTGCATACGAGTCACTTGTATCACTAGTTATCTTTCGGGTTCAGTATCCTGAAGATTATCAAGACCTTTCATATGAGGATCTTAAGGAATTTAAGCAGACAACTATGCTGTTGATTTATTGACAAATGGCATCATCAGTTCTTGGTGCTGATGCCACACTTAAAGTTCTATACATGAAACTGCTTGAGGCTGTATCTGGCCATGGTAATAATGAACACAGGGAAGAGGCTGCTTTATTTTGTATTCAGGCCATGTCAAAGTATGTGTCAACTGTTGAAGCAGAAGTAATGCCTCGGATCATGGCTTTGCTTCCAAAACTTCCTCATCAACCACAACTACTTCAGACAACCGTTTTCTCACAAATACTGAGGAATTTACAGCCCTTCCCGATGAAGCCGATGATTTTTTCTTGTTGGCCTCAAGGTGTATCCGCTACTGTCCTCGACTGTTTATTCCCTCATCCGTTTTTCCTTCATTCGTTGATTGCTCTATGATTGGGATCACAGTACAGCACAGGGAGGCTTCCAATTCCATATTGCATTTCTTGGCTGATATTTTTTTCTCTTGCATATTCCTCTGTGGGGGAGTAATTTATACCAATAAGAGATAGTATAACTATTCCTCGAGGTTTCAGCATCACCATAATTTTGGTTGCTTCATTAACTAGAGTGGATGTGGTCTTGTACGCTACCAGCATTAACTCGAACATATGGGGTACAAGCGGTGGAATGAGCAAAAAAGAGTGTCTTGTAAATTCCATCCACAGCTGTTACAGATGCGGAGCGATCAAGATTCTTCTTAAAAGCTCTTTCTGATGCAGCATCAGACGGCGATGCTGATGGAGTCACACTTCCTGTTGAAGAGTTCTCGGTGTTCGCCGACGTAACAGAGCAGTTAAGGACATAGTTCAAGAAGCTTTCGACTATTACTGTTGAACCATATTTATTTTGAAAATGGTAAATTATTTTGTTCCTTCTCATAAGATATTTTTAAACTTCAAACAATTTACACTTTTGTAGCAACATAAGAAATTAGTTTCATATGAAGATATTTTTTAAGACTTTATAAATATTATTTAAATTTGAAAATATATATATTTTATTTAGAATTAAATTTTATTTTTGAAATCATTTATAAATACTATTTAAAAAAATCAGACGTCCTGATTCAACTGGTCGAATAGTTATTTTTAAATTTTAATTAAATTTGAATAAAATTAAAAAATTTAATATAAAATTAAAAAAATTAATACAAAATTAAAAAAGATAATTGAAATTTTGGGTAGAATTGATTTTAATAAATAAATTAAAATCATAATTTATTTAATATAATTTTTAATGAAAATATAATACATTTTATTATTTTTTTAATTTTTATATTATGTTATGTCAACTTTAAATAATAATTATTTTATTTAATAAATATCTATTTTATATTAAATATTTATAATATTTATTACAATTTATAGTGATTATAATAATTATTTTATTTTATTTTATTTTTATATAAAAATTTATTATTAATAAATTTATTATATATTTATTATATTATAAAAATATTATTTTTATTAAATTTAGTTAGAACTAATTAAACTTATAAATTTAGACTCATGTTTTCATCCATTAAATGATAAATTTAGTTTAAAATAAGATTGTAGTTGTCATATATACTTAAAATAATTATTTACTTTTATTTCTATTTATGTGGATATACTCTTTATAATTTTATTATAAAACTCAATTATCAAATTTTTTTGGTTATTATAAAAATATTAACTTAATTAGAAACAATAAAAATGTCACATTTCCAAAAAAAAAATATCGTTGGTACTAATATTTTTTTTAGTAATTGTTTATCCAACAAAATCTATTTCATTTTATATAAAAAAAATAATCTAAAAAATATTGTTTTAGACTGTTTTATTAAAAAAATGTTATTTTAATATAAAAATAAAAAAAGTATTATTTTATCCAATAATAAGTGAGAATCCCAATGTAAGAAGCTTCCGATGTTTGAGACTGAAAATACAAAGGATTTGTATGACATTTATACTGCAAAAGTACAAACTAACAGAACAGATGCCTATGTAAGACTAATCGTGTTCCTCGTCTTAGGAATCATTCATCCATTTCATTCTCATACTCGAATTGATTAATTTAAAACTAACCAAATTCAATTTTATGTGTTTTTATTTTAATTATTATTTTTTTATGAATGATATTCTCGGAGAGAAACTTTATTAATTATTCTCTGTTTTTTTCTATCCCTCGTTGTATTAATAAACTTTTTTACTTTATTTTATACCAAAACATTTAAAAATAATATAACATAAGCTCTTTTCAATATTATTTATGTAAAAAATTTATGATTTCAACTCACCACCTTTTTAACTTAAATAATATACACGTGAAAATATCGAATAGTTCACGCGTTGGTTGCTTCTTTTTAATTACTTTTTTAGAAGTTTTTTCGACGAGAAAAATGAAGAATTGATAAAATGTCATATTCTAAAAAGAACTTTATGCAATTCTTTTTGTAGTATATTTTACATTAGTTAATAATAATGAGTGTAATATTGTAAAAAGTTCATGTTACATGAACATAAGAGTAAAATTAGATTAAAAAACGAATAAATGTCCACATAAAACTAAGAGTGTGTTAGTGTGAAATCAAGAAATATGATCGATAAACGAACAAAGCGTATGATAACTTTTTCGATGTCCAATTATAAAGAACGTAGCACATAAAATCGAAAGGTAGAATCAGAAGGGTAGGAGTAATAGTCGAAGGCTTAACATGGAACAACTTTGAAGTATATGAAGTTAAGGTTAAAATGAATCGATGTCAGGTATGCAAAGTTTTCGATTAAGTCGAAATCGAAGGGAAGGCTCGTCTATGTGGATATCGAAACCCCGGCTAAACCTTGAAGGGAAATAGTCAAAACGCACGTTTGGAAAGCAATTTCTAAGTTATGGAAGAGGCGAAGATCGTGAGAACGTGGGAAACCGTAAAAGAGGAACTGCCTTATACACGTAGGACGTGGTATCAATCTTGTTAACTGTTTCTGGAAGACTTGAATGATGCCCTATAAATAGTACAAAAGAGGAAGGAGGAGGGGGCAGAAATTGACAGAGAACAGGATCAGTAGTGAAAAGTCTACCGGAGAAACGACGAACACCATGAAGTTTCTGGCAATCTGGATTTCCTTGCTCACTGAGTACATTTACCGCTTTCTGTATTTTCCTTGGTAATTTATTTTGATGCAATTTAAATTCAGCAATTTTATGTTTCTGTATTTTCAATTCCTTGTTCATTTCAATTCAATGAAAGTTTAAGTTTCTGTATTTTCGATTTATTGTCATTTACATTTCCTGCACATTTCGATTTCCTGCCATTTACATTTGCACTATTTTTCGATTCCTTGTCATTTACAATTAATGCAAGTTTGAGGTTTTCGCACTTTACATTTCCTCGCAATTTAATATTCTGCTTTTTCGATTCGATACTTTATTGTTTTCGATACTTTAAAGACAACACCAAAAATAGTTTTCTTGATATCTTATGATTTTCGATTCTCATATACGTTTTCGATTGAAAGTCAGACTGCTAGCCTAAGTAAAAAGAACTTACGTGGTAGATTTTTTATTAGGACCAAAACACCCTTAGAATCGAAATCGATCAAAATTCCACCAGAAACAAATTGGCGCGCCAGGTAGGGGGGTAATCTTGTGTTGAGAAACACAAAATTGGTTAGTTCGAAATTGTATGAGATTAAGGAGTGGAAGAGTCATGAGTCAGAGTTCATCAAATAATCAAGGTAACAGTGAGGGATTAAATGGGTCACACCTACCAAATACTGGGGGGCAAAGTCATAATGGGAACATACCTGTAGTATCGACAACTGTGAGCATGTCGATACCTGTGAGTAGTGAACAAAATTCAGGTACATTAGCAAACACTCAAGTAGGATCTAGTACGGTGATACCAAATAATATGCAAATTATAGGAAATCCCACAACCACATATGTAGGGCCACGTATGAGTGTAAGACCACCCGGGTTTTCACTTAATAATGTGAGTGGGGCTGGAACTTCTTCAACGCATAGGAATTCGAGACATAATTTAGGAATGTCCCAAACACTAGGTATGTCACAAAATTTTGGAATCCCTCCAAATTTAAGGACGTCGCAAAACTTAGTAATTCCCCAGAATTCAGGGAACGGACAGAATGTAGGCACACAACAGATGCCTCCAAATCTAGATCATAGGGGAAACTTAGATCATGGGAGATATGTATTCGATAGAGACTATCATCGATCTAATTTGATTCTATCGAAAACATAAGTACTGGAATATCTAGTAATTCATTAGGGGTACTTAGACAGCAAATGGATGAGAGTAATTTTGAAATGGTGAACATGTTATCACAACAATTGACTACAGTCTTAAGTCCATTAGTGCAAAACACTACTGCTAGTTTCGAGATATTAGCAGACCAAATGTCACGAATCGGGGATGCATTGGATGTGCCTCGACGAACAAGGGTAGAAAATCATGCTAACCAGAATACTAATATTAATCCCCCATATCTATTGAGAAGAAATATAAACAATGATCAACAGCAGCGTATGGGACATGAGTATCAACATGTGAGGAATGATATTTATGGGAATTTGAACGAAGGATTTCAAAATATACACAATCAGAATAATATGTTGGGACAAAGGGTGAATTTACAAGGGATGGAATTTAGACCACCTAATCAGACATATTTTGTATCTCCCTTTCCGAATGCGATTCTCGAGACAGAATTGCCTCGGGGATATAAAGTACCCAAATTCACCAAATTTGCTGGAGAAGTTGGTGAATCAACTATCGAGCATGTAGCTCGATATCAGATCGAATGTGGAGACCTAGCGATGAGTGAGGAATTGAAAATGAAATATTTCCCGAGTTCTTTGACTAAGAATGTTTTTACTTGGTTCATGTCATTGCCACCTAATTCGATATATAATTGGCTGCAATTGGAAAGAAATTTTCATGAACAATTCTTTAGAGGAGAAACTCAAGTGAGTCTCATCGACTTGATGAATATAAAAAGATACAATCATGAAAGCATAGATGATTATTTGAATCGATTTAGGCAAATGAAATCGAGATGTTTCACTCAAATTCCTGAATATGAATTAGTCAGAATGGCATCTGCAGGTTTAGAATTCTCGATTAGGAAAAAACTGGTCAATTTACCATTAAATGACATGGCTCAATTAGCTGATAAAGTAAGAATAGTGGAACAAATCGAGTATGAGAAACAAAGATATAAGAAATATGAGAAACCTCTAAAAAAGGAAAGAATAGCATACATAAATGATGTATATGAGACGAGATAATATGACGAGAAAATGATATTGAAGAAACGTCGATGAGAAAGTAAACTTAGCGAGAACTCAAAGTGGGGGTTCCATATACACGTAAATTGCTACAAAAGAATGAAGTAAAAGATAAAATGGCAAATCGAACATATACTTTTGATGTAACAAAAGCGAGACAAAATCTTTGATATTTTATTGAAAGACAAAGCAGATTAAGTTGAGTGATGATCATAAAGCTGTCGTCACGAGAACAAAGGAATGGTCAAAAATATTGCAAATTTCATAATATTTATGGACATTGGACTAACAATTGTATACATTTCGGGAACACCATCCAAGATGCGATCGACCAAGGAAGGTTGAAGTTCGAAGAAATGACAATGAAAGTTGACACGAGCCCTTTCGAGGCTCAAGTAGGATACCTCGAATCCCAAACGAGGCATTACCGATGATGTCAGATTAACACATTCGGCCTTCATAGGCATGGTAGATGTCACTGAAGACATCGATCCTAAGCATGTTAGGATGGATGTA